GGCGATTTCCTCTACGATACCGCCAACTGAGAGGAAAGGTTTGATGGTCTCCACAGCCTCCTCGTTGTATACAGGGCGCTTCTCATCTCTCGTCGAAATCAGTTTGATCTCCTCCACAGGCAAGGCGGGAAACTTGATCTTGTCAAACCAAATACCGAACCGTTTCCTCCTCGATATCTCGGCATTGATCTCATGGCCGATCGGGCTGGTCTCAAAGTCGAACTTATCGGCAATGGTCCACAGGTAGCCATGGACAACACTACCCACATTGACTCTTCCTGCTGGAGCCACGACTTCACCGTTAAGTGCAGTCTCCTGCAGCCTGAGGATCATTGGCAAGGAACTCCGAACAGCGTTGACACCTAGGCGCTCTACCAATTTGGTCAAGAGAAGGTATAGTAGGAGGATATTTGTTTCGTCCTCTGCTTCGTCCAGGATGCTGTCGTATACCGCCAGGTGAAGCAAAGCCAGGAAATTGGATCTTGCCGGTTTGATTTCTTTGCGAGATGCGTTGGAAACCGCTCTTTTGGCGGCCACATTGTCCCCCTGGGGTTTCTTCGAATGTGGCTTCTTTGGATGGCCATCCTTGGGCAAAAGCATGTCGCTTTTGTTGGTTTCGAGTTTGAGCCATGTCAGAAGCGCGTCGATGTAGGCGAATCTGACGTCTCGGTCTTCGTCCTTCAGCAGCCATTGAGTGCCTTCCCAAACCTGCAAACCCACTCGTGCCCGTGCTTCGATTGGCGTCCCGGTGGCGTTACGTTTGCTGTTCGCGCGAACCAGAATGTCCTTGATAACTCGACATGCAGTGACCCTAGCGGTTGCGAACGAGAAGAATGTAGATGAATTGGCGTCTTCTTGAATGCTGATAGACTCGGCTATCGCCTTTGTCGCTGCTGCCGGGTCGTTGATAGCAGCAGCTGTGGTGGGGACTTCTGATTGAGGTGACGGTTTCAGGCGAGCCAATATCGCCGTGAGCATATCACTGATCTGGTCGGTATAGTAGATGTGATTAGAAAGTGAGGCAATACACTTTTGTAGCCTCTCCAGTAACTCCTGTCGGACCGGAGACGCGACCAGCTCTTTCGACGGCGTCCGTGCCATGTTATTTTCGACCAGGACCGAGCTGGGGTCGAACGCTTCCTTTGCTTCTTTGTAGAAGCCAAGCGTGTCCTGCCGATGTGTTTGTCCAAACCGAGCATTGGGTCCACCAAGCTGGAGAAGAACGAGCATATGTTGGATGAACCCGAGCAGGATATCCATGACACTCAACCCGATCAGGTTGACGGGCGAACTCAGAAGCCAGTCAATCATTGTGGTCAGAACCAACTGTTTCTCAAGCACGCCCTCCACCATAGGACTCCGGACCAATGTTTCCATGGCCGTAACCACAATGATGAATCGATCTTGTACTGGAGTCCACCGTGCAATAGCTTCGAACAGAGAAGTGGCCCAGTTACCCATGCGTGATGCTTCCGGAGTGACTTTCGGAGGGTTCTTCGACGCAATGAACTTTAAGGTCAGGGCCGTAGCCAAGCGAGTCTGGCCCCGTGTGCTGCCAGTCCCGACTGAGAAGATCTGCTTCAGGCACCTCAACGCGAGCGTTCGGACCTCCTCTTCGGCAACTTTGTCGGCTCCCGCCGTGGTCTCGACGGCTGCTGCTGGATCACCCTCCATGGTGTCAACAGTTGTGACTGTAGCAATACTCACGCGCCTCCTCCGGGCCGACTCATCATCCATCCTCTCGCTCGTCTTTGCTCGCTGCTGTAGCGTAGAGAGAACATTCTCTTCCTCGAGCGACATGTTCTCTAAAATGACGGGCATGACCATGTTCAGTTGGTGATTCGAGTCGGTCGCAAGCGCATCGGAAGCGACAACGGCTCGGATGGCACGTAGGCCGATAGTGCGCCATCTTAGAGAAAGAGGTATGGAGTCGCCGGTCTTCTTATTCGCCAGATTCTTCTTGGCCGCGAATCCGGCGTAGTGTTGGACGATTGAAAGATACTGTTGAGCGCGTTGCTGGTCGGCTGTCAGAGAGGCAGAGGTCACGTACTTGCAGTACGCTTCGAATGTAGGGATCGAGTCTTCGACCATGTTGACATCGTCGGATCGCAGGACGGAGTCGAGGATGGTGAGGACGGATTTGGCGTAGAGGGACAGATCTCGGGGAGCCTTTTCAATGATGGCAGTGAGGATCTGGAGAGTGACCTGGACGTTCCTACCGTCGATTAGCAAGACCCCGGCAGTGAGAGAGTTCCGCGTACCCAAGCCTTCTTTTCCAGACATCGCCGGCAGTCTTCTTCTCGAGGAAGGCGCCGACCTTCTGCAGCTTGTTGCGACGTGTCGAAGCGTAGTAGAGCAGGTAACTCAGCTCCGACGACATGGGCTTGACCTCCTGCACCGTCTTTTGGTATTTCGGGTAGCATTTCAGCACCAGGACCTGATGTTTGGGACGGCATTTCTGCTTCGCACTGTGGATGGGATTGAGTAGGGAGCTCATGGCGACGGTGGTGACAGTCGGAGGTGGGAGATTGACTGAGCCTTCAAGCGCGCATTGACAAGTTGTCACCGGATAGAGTGTAGCATGGTTGGTCGTTGGAGTGATGGAACATCTGTGAGAGGACGTTGGTGAGACCCGAGTCTGGGAATTGCGAGGCCCCGATCCTGCCAAATACGAAATTCTGCAAGATGACGACGAGCGACCGAAATGGTGGTCAAGTTGCGAGTGAGCGCAATCTGAACAGGCGAGCCAGGATCAATTCATGAGAAATTCTGCTGGCTGCTCGGGGTCGCCAAGTACCGGGTATTATTGGGTTATCGAGCAAGTCGCAGAGTGCTTGAGCTTTGACTCCTCATCGACCCGCGTCTACATCTATTACCGTGCCGGATCGAGGTTATTAGAGCTTCCTGCGAACCTGCAACACGTGGATTATGCACTGCATAGTGGATTATTGTGCCGCCTATCTTGCGTCGGTCTAGACCAATCCCTGATTCTGGACTTGAAATCCGGCTGTTTCTCCCGGTGCCTTGGATTGGAGTAACAATGCTGTGCTCTGCTTTCTCCTCGTAACAGCACAGCCAAAACATCGATGATACGGGAGGCCCGGTGAACAGCATCAACACATAAGTTGCTCAGCTATGGGGAGCAGTCTAAGCAATCTCTACCGCAACACCTCTGGTTGCTGTTGCAGGGATGACAGAGGCCAGCTCCAAGACGAGACAAGTGCTTGCTTCGATCCGTTTTACCAGCATACAAGGTGACGAGGAAAAGAATAAAGCTAGATCAATCGTGAGGAAGATGGCGGATACAAAGCCCATGCAATCAGCAGTTCCTCCAGCTCAGTGTCTCTCAATCTCATCTTGACTTCAGCAACCTTTGATTTCACGAACCCATTACACCAACTTGACGAATGCTTCACCGATCCCTCACCTCAGCTTGACTAACGCTGCATGGTTCTTGCCATGTTTGCATTCACTTCCACCTGAGATGCTGTTTATCCACCCAGCAGGCGTCAGACATCAAACAGTATGTGAATATAAAATGGCCCAAGCGCGTCACTGCCGCTGCGGCATCACTGGGAACTTCACTTACCGACCTTCTCGCTGCCTCACAAGGGTATAAGTATCTTCTTCTCCTCTGGCTTCTGATACGACTTCTTTCCTACTATCCACCTCCATCCTTGCTTTCTTACGACAACTACAGCTCTTGCTTCAATCAGTCTTCTACATCCATTGACAACCACTACACCACTACGCCAAACCGACACAATGAAAGCTTCTGTCGCCATCACCGCCGTTTTGGCTTCTGCCTCCGTCGCCATGGCTGGCTTGGTCCCCAAGTCTGAGCATACCCCGAACATCCCGATGAAGATCGGCTGCGTGAGTATCATATCAGACCCGACTGGGCTTCAGGAGTGACTGAGTCTGACACCTTCTTTTCCCGACAGTACCCAACCGGCAACAATCCCGCGCCCAACGCCATGTCGATCAAGCTCCCCAACTGTAACGGCGACTTGAACATGACAACTGTCTGCGCTTCTGCAAATGGTACGGGCGATACATCCAAGCTACTGATCCATAATGCCAAATCACTGACTGCGGTGCCTCTAGCAACGAGAAATCCGAGGTCGTCTGCGACAGCGATGACATGAAGGGTTGCAGCGACAAGGAGATGTCCAAGGTCTGCGGCCAGGCTGGCGAGGATGCGGACTGGCATGGATATTTCTACTGCAGCTGCTGGCCTGCGTGAGGGTGTATGGTGAACGACTTGCAAGACGATTGGCCAGCATGGATATTGAGGGGCGAGAACGACGACAACGCCACACAAGACAGCGACCTTCTTCCCCGTTGCGGTGCATCATGCTCTTGAGTCGGACATTGCAAAGACGCCAAGGTCAGACCAGGCGATCTGCACAACTTTTATGTTAGATGATACAGTACAGAATGCAATTGGCACCGCAGAGGCAAGATAAGACCTCGAGACAGCACGTCTATGACAATTCTTGCTGGAGCGGGAACGTGTGCAATGAGACACGAGAGATGAGAGATGAGAAACGGGGGTATTACTGCTCTTTGGGACCACATCATTCTTTTTTCGTGCTCGCCACTGTCTGCAGGGCAGTATTCCTTTCCAGCACGCCAGATCGTGGCCTGAATCACTCCGTCGTCACTATTACTTATGTGTGTAGGTATCCTACGTGCTCTGCCCGCTTTACCCACAGGACGATCAGACTCAGATCCCGTCCGCTTAGTTGCCTGCCTGTCGGCTTACGGGAGTTCTGCCCTTCGGCACATGAAATAAACATTACGTGATACTTGGATATGTCCAAAGAGCTCGTTATACATAGAGCCACAGGGAAGTCGAGCTCCCAGTTACACGCACACACACACGTCCCAACAAGATACTTATGAACACGCAGCGATTACCGTCGCAGTACGTCTGATGGCCGCAAGACAAGACACGCCGATACAGTGCTTTTCCATTCACGCGAACGCCGGTTAGCTCAATCATCCCACCTCCCGTCGCCTACGAAGACCGGCATCCACTCCTGCCCGGGATACGCCGTCGCACTCATAGGAATCTCCTCCTCGCTTTCATACCCCTCGGCCTTGCTGCCCGGCAACTCGGCGATCACGCCCGGAGTGGTCTTGTCTCTGGCGCTTTCGCGTCGGGCCCGTCTCGGACTCTCGGGCGCGCTGTAGCCTTCGAGCACGGAGACGTTGCGTTCCAGCCCGCCCGTGTTGGTCGTGACCGCCAAGTGCGAAGCTGGTGCGGCATGCCCGCCGGATTCCACGCTCACGGGGGTGTCACTTCGGGCCGCCCCAGCTGCGATACGGTCGCGGAGATGGTGCTTTCTTCGTGCGTTGTCGTCGTCGTCTAGGCCCGGTACCGTGATGGCAAAGGGCCGTTCTTGGTCGTTGTCCGGCCGCGGGATGCCGCCTACCGGGGAAATGTTCTTGGAGCTAAAGGTGCCGAGCAGGCTGGTGGGTTGCTGGCGCTGTGAGGCGTCAAGATCGTCGGATGCAGCACGTCCAAGTCGAGGCGATCGGGAGCGTTTGTGCAGATCGATGACGTGGTCGCGAGGGTTCCGAGATGGCGATTGCGTCGAGGGAGGTGGTGGCGAAGTTGGTCCAGACACGGTGGTGATGCCTGAGCTTGGGTTCGGGTTGTACGGAGAAGAGGCGAAAGGGGATGCTCTGCGCGGGTGGACCTGTGCTGGGGCTGTGGCAGGCACATTGTAGTGGCCCAGGTTTGGGTTGCTTGTGTCGATGCGTAAATCAGACGGGCGGCTTTGATGACTCGGATTCATAAAGCCACCCGTTGCGTATCGACCCGCAGATGCTTGCTGACCTGCAAGGGGCGGAGATTGTGGAGGATGCGTATACTCGAAAGGCCCGGGATGTTGCTGATATGGAGAAGCCGCTGTTGGGAACTGCGGTGAAAATTGGCCTCTTGTGTGGGCGGTTTGTATGTACGGTGACTGAGCCTGTGCTTGACTGAAATAGCTCCCAGGTCCCACGGGGTATCGGCCATACGGTGTCTGCGCGGAATAGGGCTCCGGGGAGATGACACCCGGAGTCTGCGCAGAGTATGGTCCGGGAGAAGCGAAGCGTTGTCCGGTTCTCTGATTCTCAGATCCTGTTGTCTGTGTCGGGGGAGTGGGTGTGGTGGCGGCTCTGCTCTTGAACAGCTTGCCCCCAAGCCCGGAAAACCGCTTCTTCTTGCCTTCTGCGAGTCTGTCGCCACTGTCCGGCGTTGGTTCTCGGGGCGCATGGCTCGGTTGCTGTCGAGCCAAGGGGGAATGGACGTTTGGAGGTGGAAGCTGGCCGAGCTGATCTTGACTGGCGTAATTGCTGCTTTGCCGCGAGGAGGCACTCCCAGTCCGCAGCAACATGCTGTTTCGCTTTTCCTTTTGCACGTATCCGAGAGGTCCAACGTGAGATTCTGGCCTGACTTGCTTTTGAAGTCTAGATCCCTTAGAAGAGCTTCCCCCAAACAGCTTACCGAATGTGCTCCTCTTCCGCTCAGCCTGCGGTTGATGGGGAGATGGTGGTAAAGGCGCTGCATGTACAGACGTCTGTTGGCTGGAAATAGGGTGCTGGACTGGGGTCGCAGGTGGACCCATTGACTGCCGCTGCTGTTGTAGGGGTCGGTTTTGGGTATAATTGTCCCACTCTCCATGCTTCATGTCGTACTCGGCATAAGGGGCCGGACTGTCCAGACAAGTGGCGTGGCCCTGATAGCTTGGAGCATTCTGTTGTTCTGAAGCGGTGTAAAAGCTCGGTTCAGGCTGAGGCTGGCCAGCGTAAGTCTGAGATCTTAATGTGCTTGGTAGTGGCTTGCCACTCGCTTGTAGCTGAGCCTGGCTTCGGGCGTTTCTAGGGGATGAGATTTGTTTCGGAGATCGGTACTCTTGAACATAAGGGCCAGGTATTCGGTATCCCTCCTCATACGGCTGAGGCTGAGGCGGTAAGGTAGGCGGTCGCTGCTCTCTTTGCTGAAGGTGGCGGCCGATTTCTTCTTGTGCGCGTCTTGCACTAGGCAAGGGACTCTCGGAAGAGTACAAATGGGCTCGGTCTATTGGAGCTTGTTCAGGTTCGCCCGCAGGAAGAGCAGGATGGTGTCTCGCTTTAGGATCGGCGCTGAAAGGCCTCGAATATGACCTCGAATGTCGTTGTTCTGGGACACTAGCCTGGTCTTGAACATCTTCGACGCTGACTTGTGACATTGCTTTGCTTAATGCAACACTGCTTCGCGCTTGACTTACTGGACTCATCGGCTGTGATGGAAATCTGCTGAGATCGTGCTCTGGCAACGGCCGAGGCTCGTGAATGGCACCAACGTCCTCAACACCAGCGAATGAGAAAGGTCGGTGCTCGCCAGGATCACGCTGTTGCTCAGCCGCTGCACTCTGTTGCATTAGTCGTCCGGGTGGAGGACGCTGCTCAACGGCTTCGACCATCGGCATTGATTCTGCTGCGCGGAAAGGCTCTGCCGTTGTTGCGGGAGGGGCAACGATCAGATCTGAAGACTGTGGCCGGCGATTAGTACCCTGTGCCCCAAGTCGTCTAGCACCTTGAACGTAATTAACAGAAGGAACTGCATCGTCGACTTGGGCCCTGTTTCCGTCGTGAGGACCTGGTATTATTGCCACGGACACTTCGTCTGCAGGTGAGAGAGATACACTTCTTCTCAGATGTTGGCCTTCTGCGTCAGGCCCTGGGCTCGGGCTGGCACTGGAGACATCCGAGATGGCTGAGCGGCGTCGTGCCTGTGGAACACGCAGGCTCCGGTCACTCGATTCAGCATCAGACGTTGAGCCGTCGTGTCGATCTGTGAAAGGCGCCGGTGGAGCCAAAGTGCTTGAAGGCTTGTCGCTCCCAGCAGCGGTGGCTGGAGGATGAGTAGCTGAGCTTTCTCCCCTGCTGAGACTCCTTTCGACATTTGCTCGTCGAGGCGACTCTACAGGAGAGTGGTCGGTAGGCCTGGTCAGCTGACTGATTGAACGGCTCGGGATGCCCGTGTCCTCATTTTGTTCTTGCTCGCTGTTGAGAGCAGAGATTGCTGGACTAGGAGCAGGGACAGGCACGGCAGCGACAGCGTCAGTACCTAGGACGCTCACACGTGGTGCATCCCCATCATGTCCCGAAGTCGGCCTCGGCTCTGCCTCGTTGGCGGCGGTCGGTGTCGAGGTAGCTTCTCCTGGTTGCAGGACCGAATTTAGGCCGCTCGTCTGCGATCCCATAAGCTCGCGATTCGAGAACCAGTCAGTGGTCGATGTTAGCGGCGAGGCAGGAGTGATGTTCAACGGGATCTGAGGGGGCCCTTCGAGGTATGTAGAATCTCGGGACCCGGAAGGCGATGAAATACCTTCGGGCTCGTCTGGAAGGGGTCCGGTCGACTTCCGCCGGCCAGCAAGGATGCCCTAGAAAGACGTCAACCAGGGCCCAAATGGAAAAAGCATTGACAAAGTAGAGAAGTATATCTTCCATTCATTACTATCTTGAAAAGGCTTGCAAAGAAAGCCGCTGAAAGCAACGGGTCCTCGTACAGCGCCGGTAAGAATGAAGTGGCCGCGAGAGGAACACATGCCTTTCCCCCATGGTAAAGAAACGCTAACCGGGCAGCAAGGAAAGTAAGGGGAAGATCAACGGGCTACCTTTTCGCTTATGCTCGTACTGCGCATTTTCTCCTTGCCTTTTGCAAACAGTCCTTTAGCTGCGTGCCCTGCTTTCCCTCCGAAGCGTCCAGCTGCTGCCATAAGCTTCTTTCCGTCCTCTTGCATATGCCTGGCGCCCGCCGACTCAGTGAGGATCCGCCTGGGGGAAGGCTTGTGCGACGCGTTGCTGTCCGCGGTGTCAAGGGAAGGCCGACCATTCATGGCGAACAAGTCAGCATTCTCGGCAGTTCTCATCGACATCAGCCAGTCCTGGAGCTGCTCATTTGGAGTTGCATAGAACTGCCGGCTCTCGTCAAACGCCTTTATTCGCTCTGCAGGTGAACCAAGATTCAGAATTGCGCGGAAAGTGGGAGGCTCGCCGAGCGTTGGTGAGGGCTGGGTTTGGTGTGTATTGATCGGGGAAATGCCAGGGTGCTGCGTGGGATTGGTGGTCTGCTGGGATTGCACAATGGGTAGGTTCTGCAACAATCTTGGTGGCTGCTGTGCAGGACTATCCGTGGAAGCCGGCATTGATTGCATAGACTGCTGTATTGGCGAAGTAGCTTGCCTACTCGAAGGTTGGTTAAACTCCGCTCTAGGTGGTGGGACTTCCGGAGAGCCTGGTGCAGGTTGGAATGAAGTTCTTATGGTATCGGGTGACCCAGTGGAGGGCGGACTGGTCGCTTTGGGCGTCGATGCAGAGCCCGGTGGTGAGCTGCCAGTCTCCCAAGAGAAGCGCTTTTGCAAGAAAGGTTGGCCAGATGCCGGGGATTCTTGTTCAACAAGCGGCTGTGGTTGTCTAGTCCCCGGACGAGCCGTATCACCTTCCGCACCGACAGCTGGCTGTGGCTGAGGTGCAGGCCTCGATTGGGGAGGCAAGGGCCTCGCTTGTTCTGGGCCGGGATCAGCGTCCGTCACTGAGATATCGGCGTCGGGCAGCCCAGCTTCGGCCGGCTGGTGCGGGACGATTCGTAGTGGAGGAGGTCGGGTAGTGGTGTCTCCTGTAGATGGGGTAGTGGTCGACGGAGGCACCGTTATTACTTGAGGCCTTTCAGTCAGGTGCGACGGGGAGGATTGTGGAGCGGGGGTGGTGCTCTGGGGGCCGGCCCCTACAGTGGTAACTGCTCGATAGGTTGATATTTCCGGGTCAGCCCTTGGCTGGTGGCCTTCTGCCGGCGCTTCATTGTCTAAAGTCGACGACTTTGGTGTCAGTCTCTTCACGATTTCCAGCTGCAAGCGCTCATTTTCACTCTCGGCTGGTGTTTCTTCTGCGATTGGGGCGGTAGGTAAGGGTGGACGGAGGCTAGAAGGGTCAATCGAACGGCTAGTCCTCAGCGGCGCTGGGAAATAGTCGACGGTTGAGTGAGGTACGTCTGCCTCACTCGACGTCGCAGCAGATAAGGGAGTTGAGGCTGCTACTTCCTGAGGTGGATCTGGACTACCGCGTGATGAATTTGTACCTGCTGCTGGTGGATCTGCTGATGGACGTTGTATATCCTGTTCAGTCCTCTCCTCATCTAGCGGTTGATGTGGTGCAGGAAGATTTGCATCTCCGTCAGTGGACGAGCTCGACTCATCCCATTCGTTCTCGCTTTCCTCCTCGGAAGGCTGTGCCGACGAACTCTGATCACGTTCGCTCAGTCGATGGCCCGCTAAGGCGCCAGCAAGAGCACTTCCAGCAGAAGCAGCCGCGGCGAAAGCCCTCTGGGTTACACTAGGATCATGAGAAGCCGTATCGGCGGGAGCGTGCGCCGTTGGTATGCTTTCTGTACTTTCTGCTCGTGGTTGAGCGAAGGCAGCTCTAGGGGGAGAGATGCCCCGTTGACCAGGAGTACCTGCATCAGGAGTTCCCGGAGCTGCAGAGGAGGTGAAGGACTGCCAACCACCAGGGATCGCTGGGCGAAAGCTATCGAATCGTGCCTGAGGAGGTGGTGGGCGCCCCTGAGAGAGACCGGGCAGCGGTACCTGAATGCTAGAATTGCTCGGAGATGATCTCCCTGAGGATGACTCCAACTTATCTGCGAGCTCGCGCACCGTGCCCTTCGGAGGAGACTCTGAACGCGGTATTGCTAAAGGAGCGCCAACTTTGGGGGTGACCGCTTCTGGAACTGGCTCGGAGGGAAGCGGTTTATCTTTGGTACTCTGTGCGCTACCCCGAGTTTGCTCCGGTGCCTCAGGGTGTTCATCAACAAGTGAGCCATGATGTGGTGGCACAAGATCTCGTGGCTCGACTTCGAGGGGCTTCTTCGCCGGACTGTTGTCTCGACTTGGAGGCGTGACGTCTCGACGGTAACCAGGGCGTAAAATTGGGGCCACCGAAAGCTCATCGTCGTCGGGTGCGGTGGTTGATGTCGGTCGTGCTACTCCTGGTGAAGATTCCTGAGGAACAATAGGATGCGCAGTCCGTCTAGTGGTATTTGAGGGAACTGAGTTCGGCTTCCGGCTAATGATTGGGCTGATATCGGCGGGCGAAGCACTATTTGAACCATCGCCCCTGCTCGATGTGGATGAGTGCGTGAGGGGTTCTGGACTCTGGCTCTGATCGAAAGCTTGATGGACGACGGATGTGTATCCCATAGTAGGCTGATGCTGCAGAGCCTTGACACCCGGCTCCTCACTAACACTGGTCGCCAGGTCTTTTGAGGGAACCTGAGGCGGCGCGTCACTGGGTGGTTGCTGCACATTTGGCGTGGATTCAGACGTCGTGTTATCTGTTAAACCCATGTCCACACCGAAGTCAGAGAGTCGGCCGATGGGTGGTAAACCAAAGCTAGGTCTGTTGTTGGACGATGACTGTCTAGTCGGTATATCGTCTGCTATTGGCGTGTCACGAGACAAGGTAGACTCAGAAACGGGTCCTGGGCGATCGGTGTGGGATGGGAAAGCATCAGGTCCATGTCTTGAGACTCCCGTGGGCGTTTCTTCAATCTTTGGGTCCTCTGGCTGTGCATTGTCATGGCTTGTTGACTTGAGCAGGTTCTCAAAGCCATATTCGCTCTTCCGCTCAGGAACGGGGTCCAGGGTCGGTTTGAGCCGTCGCGTAGAATCTGAATCCTCCGCACTTGGCTGGGCACTACTCGTCAACTCCTTTGGGTCTGATGCCGTTGAGCGAGCGCCAACAGAATCTTCCCTGGCACGGGTTGATTCTGAAGCAATACTGGGTCGCGGAGAGTCCTGTGACTTGCGTGCTTTCTCCATTTCTTCTGCCATACGTTTGTAGATGTCTGAGGGTCGGATCAAAACTGGCGGGGGCCGGTCGTCATTGGTAGTGGTGGCTGGCACCGTGCCTGAGGTATGGGAAGGTGCGGGTGAGTGTCTGTCCAGCGTGAAGTCTGGAGGCGGCTGCTGGCTCAGACTTTGCTTGCGCGGAGGAAACTGTCTATATGAGGCATTGGAAGAACGACTCTCGGGTCTCATGGGACTCTCGTGGCGTGCGTACGAGTCTCCGCGCGGGGGACGATTGCTCGAGCCTGATCGCCGTTGTTGCGGAAAACTTCCTGGCGCTGACATGGGCACATCCTCGTATGAGGGAAATTGTCTCCCTCTTGAACCTGGTCGGAAGACTGGGGTTGTAGCACCCATACCTTGTGTGTTCAGACGGAGAGGTGATTGCATGCCGTAGCTGGGCGCAGAGAGTACATCGTCGTGCTGAGGGTCGGGAAAGGGTGATCGCTGGGTCGTCGGATATGGCGAATCGAAGTTTCCAGCAGAGGAGAAATGCCTGCGTTCGTCGCCCCGATCGAAGGATGGTCTCTGCCCCCCACGAGGAGGAGAGGGATTCGTGACGCTTCGATTGGAGGGATTCGCATTGGTAGGCGCATTCCAGGCAGGGTGTCGAGGGTTGTCTGCTGACACCGGCGCTGGCTCGTCGTACCCATCGTCAGAGGAGTCGTCGCCCCAACCACCACCGTAGTCCACCTTATCCGCGTCTTTCCATTTCTTCGATTTGACCCTGTTCACGTTGATCTTGAATCTGCCGGTGCCATAGGGATTGGAGGTCGCCATCCTACGACGAAATTGGGAGCCAGGTGACCGAGTGGTCGAACAGAAGGTAACTTCGAGTTATTTTCAAGGCATGAGACTACACATAGCGTAGACTGGAGTGTGTGAAATAGATTCTTCAGAAGGTCGAGAGGTTCTTGAGGTATTCGTATCACATAGCCAGGACTGCTGCCGGATGAACGCAGCGCATAGACAAGAGTTCGTTGCACGGCTGGAATGGTGGTGAGGATACCGAGGCCACACCCAGTGGAGAAAGATGGTCACGGCGTGTAACGGTAATAGAGAGCAATGTGTAGATATGGCCGGCCGCGCATGCAATCGCTTGAAGGATGGCAGCTGAGATACTGGACTCGTCACTCAGCCCTACGAACAGACAAACAGGAAATGAGGGCTGGGAAACGAGTGGAGAAACAATCACAAACAAAGTCCCAGCCGTGCGTCAGTCACTGCGCCACACGCTTCGCAAGCTGATCATCAATTCGCATTCGTGCTGTGTTAATAGTCTGGAGTTGACAGGACCAGGTCGTCGTTCTCGTAGTCGAGGTAGAATCTCGTCGCATACCGACACCACGCTCAACTCAGATTGAGCGGGTTTGAGAACTTGCAAGATTTATGTTTCCGTGTTTCATTCGGGCCACCAAACTGGTCCACCGGCTTCAGCCAACTGTGGCTGGAATAACGGGGGCCGATCACAGGATTTGTGGCTTGCCTCGTGGCGGCAAAGACACCCTGAAGAAGAGACGTTTCCGGCTGCGGCGTGCCCTGACCTGAACCTTGAGGTTACAAACTCCGTACTCCGTATACCACGACTGACTGCGCTCGGACTATTCCTTCACTGTACATACTAAACTCGACTCTTCATTCAGCGTCTTCTTTTCGAAGCACTTGTATTAACAGTTCCACTCCTGCATAGACGCACTAGAATGAGCAGTCGGCCATCCTCATCAATCACAAAGACTTCTACGAGGACGATTCTACCATTCTCGAAAACTGATCTTCGCTTCTACGCCATCTTTCTCTCCGTGTAGGACAGCATGGTGTCCACAACGATTCAGGACCGGACGAACGAGTTCCGCGCTATCCTCGCGCAGGCGCAGAAGCGACAATCCGCCGCAAAAGGAGGCCCCCAGCGACAGTCGCTCCTCAAGACCGTCGAGAAACAAGAAGCACATGGCGCAGTTACTGGCCCTACAAGAGGCGCGCGGTCAGAATTCGCACGGAATGCGGCGCAGATAGGAAGGGGCATCACTGCAACTATGGGCAAATTGGAGAGACTGGCACAACGTACGTTACTAGACCCGAGACTCCGGCGACAAGTTGGCGACTGACGGGGTTTAGTTGCGAGGAGAAAAGCCGTCTTTGACGATAGACCCGTCGAAATCGCAGAGTTAACCCATGTCATCAAGCAAGATTTGGCCGGCCTCAATTCTCAGATATCTGCCCTCCAACAACTCACCCAGTCGCAACACCCGACCGCTTCTCAACCTCGATCGGCGGACCAAGAAGGTCAGCACAACAAGAACGTGGTAATGATGTTACAAAGCAAAGTGACGGATGTGGCCGTAAATTTCAAGGATGTACTGGAGGTGCGGACGAAGAACATTCAAGCGTCACGGTCAAGAACCGAAAATTTTGTCTCCTCGGTGTCAGCGCGGTCACAACCTCACCTAGACGACTCAAGGTCGCAATCGCCTTTATACCAGAGTGCTGCAAGCCGGCAGCGGACCCCGCAGGCATCCACGAGTGACCTGCTCACGATCGAACCTTCCAACACGTCCACGCTTATGAAGAATGCCCCCCAGTCAGACCACCAGTTATTACTTATGGAGGAAGCCCAGCCTGCGAATACATATATCCAGGAAAGAGGCCAAGCCATCGAAGCCATTGAAAGGACGATAAATGAATTGGGAAGCATTTTCGGTCAGCTCGCGAGTATGGTCTCAGAACAGGGAGAGATGCTGCAACGGATAGATGCAAACACCGAAGACGTGGTGGATAATGTACAAGGGGCACAGCGAGAATTGTTGAAATATTGGAACCGTGTACAAGGAAACCGATGGCTGGTGGCTAAGATGTTCGGCGTCCTCATGGTGAGTTATGACTTCCCGCGTGCTACACTTCCCAACAGCTGATCTTTGCCAGATATTTTTCTTGCTGTGGGTGTTAATATCGGGTTGATTGATTTGAAGCGATGGTGTTTGGGCGTAGCAACCTGCATCGAATAGGCCACGAGCGGTTTGAGCACATAGACATAGCTCCTAGAGGTATCAAAGATCGGCTTGCAATTTTGAGCTGAAGTGTTACAGGGAGCCAATACCATTCAATTCAGTGTCTCGTGCCAATGGCACCCTCGTTCATAAAGTGGGTATCATAATGTAGCATCAACTTTTCCAGCCCAACACAAGCTCTTCTTATATACAAGTGCCATGCTGCTATTATCGGCGGCCGGCAGAAAGTTGTCGTTGGTGGACGAGTGGAGGGTATTGGGATCTTGCCCATATGGAGGATGCCATCGCAGGTGAGTCTGTGCGAATGATGCTACCGATGCCCATAAAGAGCCTGGTTGTGCAAAGTGTTAGTGGACAACTCACTGCCACCTGATAGATGACCGGCTTCCATACCCGAACATGCTTCCTGAACCCAGCATGTACTTTCCGAGGGTCCTCATAACACCTGCTTGGCCAGCGCCATACTGGAAGATGGTAACGGTGCCTGCGCATCTGTCATCAGTGGCGCGGTACTGTCGTCTGCCACTTGAACAAACCGTAGATGAATCCCATGATTCCGCCGACGGCTATAACCTTGTTAGACGTCCTCATCGTTTCGGTTTCGTGTCGTTGTCTGCGACTCACTCCCACCCATCAGCATCCCCATCTTCACTGCGACGACCGTTAGCGATTGCTGGCCCTGTCTTGCTACAAGAGAGGCGTACGTTTGTCGAACCATGTTGGCCCGTGTCTTTGAGCAGACGGTGGAATTGGAGGCATTGTGACTGTTTCTCGCGTTAGAGGTTAATGGCAACCTGAGTGGAAGTGACGGCTGCCCCATGTCCCATGGAGACTCGCCGGAGCTTCTGCATCGTGAACAGTCGATCATGCTGCAGCGGCTAACGCCTTGGCATCACGTGATGGGCGCTTAGCGGTTCGGGGAAAGATCCAGAGAAGTCGTCGAGCGTCAATTTGGACCGCTCCCAAAACCACGGGTCGCATCCTTTGAACATCAGAACCAAGCCGACACAAACGCCAATCAACAACAGGTGGACAATAGATGCCAGCGACAGTCTTACGACATCCTCTCATGGCCCTTCGACCGCGAATTTGACCATCATTCAACTACCGGAGCTTGAGTGGTCAGCCCCAGAACGTTTCTGTCAGACCCCTCGGTGTCCCGAACTTGCACGCGAGCAATCCTATCATCCCGCCAAATCCCCTGAGGGTCGCTTTATGTATGTCAGAGCAATCAATGTACCTCGAGCGGTTTGGAAACAGCCTAAACATCGTGCCCTTGACCACTCGACTAACGCAGCGACCATCTCAGTCTCGCTTCAACCTCCGAGTCCTCGAGTCCGACACATGACGACTAGGACCAGCAACCGATTTCTGTCCCCTATCACTTCACCCAAATTCCCCTGCCTTCTCCCGCTGATACGGAGACTTTGGAGGCGATAGAACACACCCGAAGGACTACGATCCTGTTTTCCCTGTATAATACCTCCCGATGACGACCGCCGTGGCTTCACCTCCGAGTTTCAACAATATATCCAGACTCAATTGGAATGGTCTAAACGGCACCAGTGGAGGGTTTTCCAGTATGAGCAGTGACGAGGTATCTCGCATGTTTTTACCTCAACGCAAGACGGTACACAGAAGCGCTTCATCTTCGTCACTGTCGTCCACAAGTTCCTCCGGATCGACGATTACACTGACACAGAACGATATCTCTTCAGAACCCGCCTCCGGGCCGAAGAAGAAGCCAAGAGGGGGATTCTGGCAAGTGTCGAAATCGGAATCAACAGCCAGTGTTTCTAATGCTCGTGCAAATGGATCCCTTCAAACAGCCGTCGGCAATTCGTTGGTAGGGAAGAACCCAATTCAGCCAGCACTACCCAGTCAGAGTCCCAACCCTCAATCGAATGGAGCACGGGTGGTGAACGGAGTGGCAGGTGGAGAGTCTGCCGCGATACTGGCCTTGCTACCCATGAATGGCACCTTCGAAAGAAAACAAATTAGCCTCCCCTTCTATCCCGAAGTGCTTCGAATTGGCCGACAGACCAACGCCAAAACGGTACCGACGCCAGTGAATGGATATTTCGACTCTAAAGTCCTCTCACGGCAACACGCCGAAGTATGGGCGGACCGGAGTGGGAAGGTCTTCATTCGGGACGTCAAGTCCTCAAACGGCACCTTTGTCAACGGTCAACGCCTGTCTCCAGAAAACCGCGAATCCGAACCGCATGAGCTTCGGCAACACGACACGCTGGAACTGGGTATTGATATAGTGTCTGAAGACCAGAAAACCATCGTCCATCACAAAGTGTCAGCAAAGGTCGAATATGTTGGGCTACCCGGATCAACAAACAACGTGCTCGACCTCAGCTTCGGCGACCTTGATCCGTCACACGGCGGTTCTCTATTGCCATCGCCTGTAAGTTCACCTATGCTTCACAGTCGGAGTGGGCCTGGTCGCCCCGTCAATGGACGGGCTTCGACTACTTCCAGTATTGCTGGAAGTCAAATGAGCTCAATAGCGCACCAACGGATGAACATGTGGGGTGCAACACCGTTAAATGTCGAGCAGCTGGTAAAGACGCTTTCGGTAGGTCTTCTCAAACAGAACGAGTGCGTTTCCGAGCTAATGACGGTAGATCGAAATGCGGGCAGCGAAGGAGCAGGCTGAAGAACTTGACCAGGCGGGAGCGTTTCTGAACTCACTATTGACGCCTGGGGCGGAACCAGCCAGACCACAGGCTACCTCGAAGGAAGCCGTCTCCCACAGACAGATAGCTGGCAGAGTTAAAGCACCAAAGATGGAGCATGTCGCACGTTTTGCCGACCCTCCTGCACCGCCGCCACAACAACCCCTGCCGGAGAAGCCAGACTCTTCGAAAGCAAGTCCGGTCGCGACTCCATTCACGAATCTCCTTAAACGTGGCGAGACGGCCAAGCCATCGAAAAACGAATCTCATTCTCCGACCAACCCGCAGAACAGCCAGATGCTTTCGTTAATTGAAGCCTTATCGATCGCCAAGAAGGAGCTTGATTCCCAGGGCGCAAGAGTGAAGCAATTGGAGGATATGCTCAAGCAGGAACGCTCGGCTCGCGAGGATGCGGAGGAGAGGGCACGAAGATTGGAACAACATGCCGCGTCGAGACCGGTGTCACAGGTGGAAGAGTCGCCGGCAATCCCAGTGCAGCCAACGAAACCCGGCTCTGACGAGCAAGAGTCGATTCATGACAGTGATGGCGAGCTAGACACGAAAACCAAACATCTCCAGCAGAATCTCGACCAAGTCCTGGGAGAGATGCAAAGGCTGAAGTCGGACGTTGATAAGTTCCAGCGCCGGGCAGAAACAGCTGAAACCGATGCCGCTCATGCGAGAAAAAGCCTGGCGGAGATGATCGACAAGATACGTGTGGAAAATGAAAAGGCAGAATCCTTACCTAAACAGCTACAAGAACGACCGGATAACGAGGGATCTGAGGCAGAGGCGGGAGCGGAGCCCAACGAATCGACCGAGAAATCCGCGGTCAAGTCGAGACCACAAGTGAATGGCCACATCCGACCACCCGTGCTGCCCGAGCACCTTGAGCGGGCTGTCGCGACTGTTTTACGAGACAGAAGCAGCAACGCGGACGCCATTGCCCAGTCAGCGCCCTACGTCTCGATGCTCGGAGTGGTGCTGATAGGGGTCGGACTCATGGCATATCTCAACTCATGGCAGAAGTCAGAGAGATGACAATGCTGGATGACTAACATACACAATTTCTTTTCCTTGAATACACTTGAGTCATTTTGGGGCATTGAGCGCCCTGCCTTGTCACTCGTTCAGTTGAGAGCGCGGCATCATGCATGGTGTTAACTTTGGGAAAGGATGGGTTCTGGGCGGGAATGCTGCCAATTTCTTTGTGGTTGTCTACAAGTTGTACTCTGCAACGGCCAATGAGCACAGGCGCAATTGGGTGTCAAAAGGAGTGCCACTTTTTCCTGCTGATGATACAGCACGCAATCAACAGGGCATGAGCGGCATGTTGAATATGGAGTCCATGGTACACAAGATACGATGAGGCGTTTGTATATACGTCCAGATAGGGATTGTCCCTCGCCTACTTTTATGCAAGCCAGACACAGCCCAACATCTGAGCTAGCAGGAATGATGATACGAGCTTCACGGCACTGGTCTGTGTCCAAGCGTCGATCTTTTGGCGGCTGTTCGCCTCCTTGTTGAGCCATGGGAAAGGGGTAAAATTGCAGTCCGTATCTTGCTATCGCTGGTTGAGCTGACTATCGTGACTCCTTGATGTTTTGGGGTTGGTGAGACTAGAGACCAACCAAATTCGCCGGGCGTGGTGCCACGACTCCCCTTCGGCGAACGAGCGTTGGGCCGTATCTCGTACTATGTACGGAGTACCTGGCTACAGCATACAGTGGAAAGGGTACTGTAGCAGGGGCCCGGGGGACCTGGGGGCCGCCCATGGTACCTAGGCGTCCAAAGCCCGTCCATCTCCTCCCTTCGGCCTCCGGAAACCTGGAAACTTGCACCGGGCAGATCCGAGTTTCATCATCATTTGATTTCGAGTTTGGAGACTGCGCCATGACTCGTACGAATGCGTCCACTCCGCAGTCTTCGACCATTTGCTGTTTCTCGGAGCCTTTGCCGGCTTCGACGGCTGGATCATATATCAGCTTGATGTCAATATGACGCAGGTATCTACTGTTGGTCAGGCAAGCAGCATCGCGTACCCCGTGTCGGCGAAGCTTGCCTCGCTTGCTGGGGCCTCAACGTAAGTAAGATCCGCCCGTTGCAGGCATTGATATCAATCAATGGCGCTCCCAACGGTCCCAATTCTAGTGTGTTTTCTTCTGGGACCTGGTCACAATGTATTGCTTAATGTCTGCCCGGTAGGTCTGCACTCTGAGAAGTCGTCTACGCCGTCGACATGAAACCTCTCACACTTCGTGCCTCGTTGTTGCCGAGATGGCAGAGGCAACTCGAAAGTACAATTCACCAGGCGACGAGGGCTCGGACGCCTGGCCCTCTGCGTCACCGGTATGATGTGCAGAAGCGCTGGCTTGCCACGTCTACCGACATTGCCCAGGACGCAAATCGGGACCCCAATGACCGGCGTGAAAAGGTCGTCATCTTAGGCAGTGGTTGGGCAGGTACACGGCCTTCCGAATCCTCACAGGCATTCTGACGCTGACTCTTGCCAGGATATGTCCTCGCCCGGGAGTTGGACAAGAGGCAGTACCGCGTCGTCGTCGTCTCCCCTCGCACCTACTTCGTCTTCACCCCTCTCCTCAACGACACCACGGTTGGCACCCTCGAATTCCGTCACGTCCTCGAGTCGATAAGAAAGCCGAAGAGTGGCGTGGAATTCATACAAGGATGGGCCGATGATATCAACTTCGCGGATAAGACAGTCACCATCGAACCCTCGGTGCTGGATCCGGACGTCGGGCATGCCTTGACGGGACCGAGAAAGCAGAATGAACAGCAGACAAATAGCGGTTTGGACATCAAGAGCAACTTTCCTCATGGGCCGTGGGAAAAGAAGGTGCAGATGGGCGGTACGGGGTCAAATCAAGTGCCCACGTTTCCCATCCATTATGACAAGCTAGTGATCGCTGTGGGAACCTACAGTCAGACTTTCGGCACCAAGGGAGTAAGAGAGAACGCATGGTTCTTGAAAGATGTTCGTGATGCGGTTGCCATCCGTCGACGGATCCTCGAGCTGTTCGAGCTCGCCCTGCTCCCAATCATGCCGGAAGAGACAAAGAAGCATCTCCTCCACTTCGCAATCGTGGGCGGCGGTCCCACGGGCATGGAGTTTGCAGCTTGCCTTTCAGATCTGATTCGCGAAGACATCTCTAAACTCCATCCACACCTGATGAAGTACGTCCGGATCAGCCTCTACGACGTGGCGCCCAAGGTGCTCCCCATGTTTGACGCCTCTCTTGCCGATTACGCGGTCAAACAATACCGACGGCAGAATATCGAGATCAAAACCTCCCACCAGGTCGAAGAACTCAGAAAGGGTTTGCCCAACGACGAAAACGCTCGCAACGACCAAGCCAGCCAAGTCAAAGGGCGAGTCTACACCATCCGTACGAAACAGGAAGGCGATGTCGGCATTGGGATGTGCGTCTGGTCAACAGGGAACATGAATAATCCTTTCGTGACAAAGGCCCTCGATCATGTCCGAAGATACCCGACAGGCTCCGCGCAGAATATCCAGGGAGAAGTCGCAGACCCAATGCAACGGCAGTGGATCATCCAGCGGGATGCTAAGACCGGGGTTCTACTTGTGGACGACCACTTCCGAGTCAATCTGACCACTGAGTGCGCTGCGGGTATGGAGGAACACGACAAGCCGAAGGCCTATATGAAGGACGTACTTGCATTGGGCGACAGCTCGAAACTGATGTCGGGTGCTCTGCCGGCAACTGCACAGGTTGCCAATCAACAGGCAATCTGGCTTGGTCGGACTCTGAATAAACATCCCAGAGCAGACAGCTTTGCTCGCGCCCCCGGCTTTAGCTTCAAAGACATGGGCGTCTTGACCTACCTCGGCGGATCTAGTGCGATTTTTCAGGGCGCGAACGCAAATGGGAAGGATGGTGTGTCCCCAAAGGGCCTCAAAGGCCTGTCTGCATACCTGGTCTGGAGAGGAGCATATCTCACCATGACGCTCAGTTGGCGGAATCGGCTGAATGTTGCGTGGCAATGGTTGACTGTCAAGATCTTTGGTAGAGATGTCAGTCGATTCTGAGCTCGGTACTTGAAACGCTTCAGGCCCGCATGTTTGGTTCTAGTCGTGTTGGCGATGAAGCGGCCGCTCGTAAAAGTGGCTTCTTCCCTATCTTCGGTATCTTGGATGGTAAGCATCGGGAAGGGAAGAGGCGGCATGGGCATCGGTGATGGAGGCGAGTATTTCTCGGCGTTTTAGGAGCATGGACAATAATAGCAGTACGTAGCCATGTCGAATCGGCGTTGACAGTCTGGCAAATTGTATCATGTTTGGCTACACCATCTCTGCCAGGTCAATTATCTTGACAGCTGTCTTCCTTGCATTCGGATACCATTATGCGGTACCCTGTGCATTCGAGCTTGGGGCCTCAACAGCTACTGTAAACACGGCAGGACGGTCAATCGAGGCTTCGCCGTTGCCGGGGATATCGTCGCACGCCGTCCACCAGCAGGCTTATCCAAGGGCTCCATTTGGCTTACGACCCTTGCATCTCTGCAGCGTTGGTAGAGGGACAGGTCGCCCGACGGTTGAATGAAGGCCAGTCCGGAATTGTCGAACTGGCGAAGATGCGGGTCTGTTGAAGCAAGAATGTCGAATTAAAGCGAGGATGCTGGCCTGTCCTCGAGGTACTCTGTAAAGACTGTCCAAATGGAAGAGAAGTTATTGCCCGATGCGGCGGTGCGTTAATTACATAACAGCATGGGACAGGAGCTCGGGCTCAAGAGTCGATCCCGTCCCCTCCCAGAGTCGACGGTATTTATTCCATTTCTGTAAAATTCTCGCGCGGGCTGGTCGATGTCCCGCGGCCGTCCCGTACTCGTATGTGCCTCAGAGCGACTGACTGATTGCCTGAATGCGATGTAACAACCCTCTTCAACGTCACAATGGGCCTGTGCCTGTGCCTGGCCTGGGTCGTGTTGAAGGGTGTATAAAAGTGCGACCTTGCTCCTGTCCTGGTTTTGTGTACCATCTGAATGCCATACCTAGAACGCAAAGCGTATGTATAGTACTGTAGTGTTCAGCATCTGTCGACTGCATCAATATCTACTCCAGGGTACGATCCCCGCGTGGCAAGCAATTGAGACTGCGCTGCTGCTGGGGTCGCTGGAATTTTTTCCCAGGGAAGACAGAGATACTCTGAAAAAAAGCACAGAGAAAAAGAGAGAGAGAGTCGGATTTGACGGTTCCATCGCCAGTCAGAAGGTCCTCCCTCTACACATCCGCATTTGCACTCTCCAGAACACATATAGCGCAGACGGACACTCAACAATGGCACACGCATATATCATCCCTGACGAGACGGCAAAGAAGCTCGCATACGGCAATCTCCTGGACGTCTTCTCAAACCGCGACGTTCAATCACGCCTCGTGGCCGTCAAAGAAACGTACCACGCAGAGGTCACTTTCTATGGGCCCGACGCGATCCACACGGGCCACGACGCCGTGAACGCGGAAGCCCAGAAACTGCTCGATGATCGTCCGGGGTGGGCATTCGTGCCCCAGGGGATCGTGACGAAGAATCACGACATGTTGTATCTGGCCTGGGGATTCGGGCCCGTGGGAGACGACGGACTCGTCGATGTCAGGACCAGGGGTGCGGATGTGTTGATCGTCGAGCAGGGGAAGGTGAAGAAATTTTGGGTCATCATAGAGGGGATCACCGACGTGAAGGGCTAGCAGCTCTGTGTGTACAGAAATTGAATCAACGACTAAGACACGTCAACGGTACCAACGGAGATGGAAAGGAAAAGAAAAGGGAGAGAGAAGATACGAGGAACAGGAAGAGAGATGGAATATGCACCTTGAACGGACGAGGACTATACTCCCATTTTGATCTTATGCAAATGAATGGCGCTCGAGAGGTCACTGTGGGCGCAAAAGGGCGTTTCTGCAGTACTTGAGGTTCACGCTGGGGTGTTTGACTTGCCACGTTAGTGTCGAGACAGCGGATCGAACAACGACGAGGCATGCGAATAGCAAGATGAGAGGTGAGCCCTACATGGTACTGTAAAATGGTCTCAAGAAGGCTGACGGCTCAGTCGTAGTGGTTGCATATTTGTGCCTCATCAGGATCATCTATGGCCTTGTCTTTCGACCACGAGATGTCGTCTTCTATTTAACCTATCTTTACCACCCGCTTGGGAACACGGGTCCACAACATATATGCAGGACCCTTTGGGTAAATGTGGTGTCGGTGACGGTTGAAGGTTCAACCCGATATGAAATGCGCGGAATACTATGCCAGCAGTTCGGTTGTCTGTCTTCAGCCAGAGCATGAGACCTCGATCTCGCTGCACTACCAAGCATAGGCTTCAGCGACCGTGGAGGAGTATACAACCCATAGACAAGATGAAACCTGTTGTGTGTGGAATTCATTGTGAGAGCTTTCTGTACGCGACTGTATCATCGGCGACGACGTTGCGGTCGGAGAATCAATCTTTCCGCTGAGTGCTTCGGACACGATGAACCCCATGGGTACACACTGTATCTAGGGGCTGACAGACGACCTATGTCTCAGCGAACGCCGCAGATAAAAGGATATCCGCGACGAAAGAACCCATCTAGCGTGTTTGAGTCAATTCGAGGGCTTATCGAAAGAGTTGGATGGTACGGGATACACGACTCGTGTACTGGGCCCGCATTCTCAAGGATCTGCTATCTGTGCGCAGGAAGACGTGATGCGGTTTGAAGAACAAGCACCCGTTCGCATATCGATCGTCACAGTCCACCATAAAATGACCGGACTCACTCAGAGCTGGAGAAGTCAACAAACTGTTCTACTGAGGTCTTAAGAAGCATACCTTTGTGCCTTCGAAACCCATTTATGGGCGCAAAGCAGCGTGACCGAACGTGGCTGTGGGTTGGTGATATCCTCGCGGTTGGAAGCCTAGCCTTCAGTGTGAGGAGGAGCACCTCTCTCGATCGGAAGATCCTCTACTGAGGCTTTCAGGTTCATGCTCATGAGAGCTACGTTGTCGGGCTCCAGGAAAAGCGAGGCGGTCCATACGCGAGAAACACAAGCAGCCCCTGACCATGGTTGCGTTCGTGTTGACGCGGAGGTCGCAAGCAAGCATAATGATGCGAGATGCACCTCATATGCTGACCTGGCTATGGGCTGTCCCAACCAAATGCTGCTCGCTGAACGTGCTGGCTTACTGCTGAGTGAAGACTAGCCAGCTGCTGGTTCAGCCCTCTTGGCGGCCTTCTTCGCCTCCTTCTTAGCTTTGCGGGCGGCTTGTCGACCAAGAGCCTTATTCATCTGCTCCTCGTTGCTCGCGCCGGGGAAAGCGGCCTCTCTCCTCCGTTTTGCTCGGCGCGTAGCTGCGCTGGGTTTCTTCTTTCGCTTTTGACCTTGCTGGGATTGGGACTGCGCAGGCTGCTCTTCTACTACCTCACCCTCCTCATCGGAATCGGTGTCAGCATCGCTGTCCAGATTTGGTGCACTGTTTGGAGGCTCATCCAGCGGAGCCGCGGCCAATTGAGCAGCTTGTGTCAGGGCGTCGGTCGCACTCATGCCTTGTTCATTGCTTTGAGCTGCCTGTTCCTTCATCTTCGACTCGAGTTCTCTCAGTTTTCTATTTGCAAGGACCTTCTCGCGTGCTTCGCGTTCGGCGCGTTCTAGGTCGTACTTTTCGTTCCCGGCCTAGGGACAGTCAGCTGAATGTCCAAGTGCCATGGGCGCGACAGGATCCTACCAATCCGTGCCTGATAACTCTTGCTGCAGCCTCCTTGTTTAACGTGACGGCTGGTCGAGCACTTTCCGGGCCTGCTTCGGCAGTTTTGATCTTCTCGAAGTACTGCTTGACTCTCGTCAACTCCTTGAAGACTGGATGTTCCTTGACTGGGACGCCATGGAGCCTAAGATAAGAGAAGAGCAAAGACTCGATGGAATATACGAGCAGGACATTGAGTTTGGCGCGGTCAAGCAACGGTAGTTTTCTGCTGGTAGCTGCAAGGGAATCGTTGAGAAGTGACCCGAGATTGTCCTCGAGATCCTCAATATTCTCCTGCAGCTCGTCAACAAGCTCGATCGTCGCTTTCGTGTCCATGGTCATTGGCGATCGAGGCGAGATCTTCCCGCTGGTGCTTATCGAGAAGCACACAATCCCATCGTGACTCGTTGCGTGGTCTCTTGGTTGCGTTAGATGGAGTGTGGAATGAATGTTTAAAGTGAAGACAATCTGAAAAATCTCCCCGCATCAATTTCCACTCAATGTCTGCGGAGACGATGCGCTTTATCCCGTGTCACTATGATCATCACTTTCTAATTATTGTATGTCAAATTTGATATTATACCAGCAATCAGCAACCGTGCCGGTGTCAGCAAGACGCAAGAATCTGGTGGCTAACTCGACGCTCTTCCATCAGGAGGTGCCTATGCCAAAGTCCTGAGTTGCCCATTGTCAAGACTCCAGCGGTCCAGAGTGACACCTTCAAACTGTCGCGACGACTACTGCTGTGCCCAGTCTCGCGGGCTGCGCGCAGATGGTCTCCAGCGGTCGGCTCGAGTCTGTGGACCCAGCCGTTCCTCTGTTCTAAACCTCGGTTGCGGTCGTTCAAGACCATGGCGGCATCCAAGTCCTGGTGGGAAGAGTCTCCTTCGCGCGAACCTTCACCCGAACAACCCACCTTCGAGTCGAAGCCGCTCGCGGACTCTGACGTGCCAGATACCAACGAAGAACAGCTCCTCACTCGACGTGTACATATCCTCGGCTTAGGAAGCATTGGTACGCTGGCAGCTCATTCTCTGAGATGTCTACCTAATCCGCCCCCAATCACCTTGATGATCCATCGATCCGAGCAGTACGAAGCATTCAAAAGAGGTGGACGGGTTATCAGTCTGATTAACAAACAAAATGAAATCAACGACCAGCAAACTGGCTATGATGTCGACCTGTTCGAGGGAATCCACGAGGACGGCTCCGCGCGCTGGCGGTTCATACCGGACGCACCATACCACAAACCCCGCACGAATCCTATTGAACCAGGAGAAGAGTTGCCATCAGGCGAGCTCTTTATCTACACGCTGGTTGTTGCGGTCAAAGGTCCGACGACCGTGTCTGCTCTTCGGTCCGTTAAGCACCGCGTCAACGCAAAGACCACCATCTGTTTCATGCAAAATGGACTAGGGCAAATTGATGAGCTCAACCAAGCAGTATTCACAGATCCGGAAACACGGCCGACATATATGCTGGGAATCGTGTCTCATGGGGCATACATGTCACAGCCCTGTACAGTCGTCCATGCTGGCTATGGCACAGTGGCGCTGGGGATCTGTCGAGACCGTGACCGATATCCGCTCCCCCCAAAGGGCCCCGTGCGGCATCTGTGGGAGCTTTCGGAAGAAGAGAGGAAGAAGTATCACCCGACCGACAGGGAACTGTTTTCCAATCTTTCGTCGCGGTACCTCCTTCGTACTCTTACGAGGTCGCCAGTGTTGGCATGCGCCGTATTCCCTTACCTGGATCTCTTGCAGCTGCAGCTTGAGAAATTGGCCTCAAATTGCATCCTGAATCCTCTGACCGCCCTGCTCGACGTCCCGAATGGTGCTATGTTGGACAATGATGAGCTTCGCCCCATTCAGAGATTGCTGCTCGCTGAGATTTCTCTTGTCATCCGAGGCCTACCTGAGCTGGAAGGAATCCCAAATGTCCGACACCGGTTTTCTGCCAAGCGGCTTGAGCAGCTCTTCGTGGGTGTGACGAAACGTACCGCCCAGAACTCGAGCAGCATGCGGGAAGACATTCGCCGTGATAAGCAGCCTGAAATTGATTACATTAATGGCTATATCGTGAAAAGGGGCGAGCAACAAGGCATCAAATGTGCTCTCAATTTCATGCTGATGCAGCTCATCAAGGGAAAGCATTCCTTGAGAGGAGGCGCAGCACTGCCTTATGGCATGACACGAGTAGTCACGGAAGCCTATGCTGATCGTCCGGCCTTGGTCACCATTTCGGACGAGAGCACACCTGCCAGGGGCAGCGTGGTTTGAAGGGCGTTCGTGATTCCTGCCACCAGGCACGAGTTCCCCGAAAATTCACGTCCGACGAGCAAATAGAGAGGCAGAGAGCACGTCAACTCTTGGAAAGATCCCACTTCGTCAGCAGCTTGGCAAGATGTAATGCAGCATTCTGGGACGGGACCACCAACCACCTGCGATTCTTTCCGTAACTGGCTTTGACTCGAGATGATTTCCTCGTGTTATTCGGCAGTCCGGCCGTGGCTGATCGTTGACTCCGGCCAGAAGAAATCGATTGATGAGGGCAGGTCTGCAGAGTTGGCCCGGACCGCGATAAAGCCGTATACCAACGAGACTTGCTGGTCGATCGTGGTCAGCAAATCTTAACTGTCACTGTCGACGGCCAAGGCCCAAACCATGGTCGTTTGATCCAGACCATCCTTACTCTTTGACGCGGACGCCGATCCCGCAGTCCAGTCAGTGGCTGGCGAGCAGAGACAGGAACAAGCTTCTGAGAGCTTGCCTGTTATGCTCGATTGGGGTGGGTGGGCACCAAAATAGCACTCCTTAGCCTGATCCAGGCTGACGCCTCCGCTAGCCTCGAACATCAGTGGCTGAGATGACCGAGGCGAGCTGCTGTCACACGAGCCTAAATCCCTCTGCTTCCAAGCTTTATTTTCATGCCCTACCAGGTACGAGTTACGAGCTAAACCGCAGCAGCAGTCTCCCCTCACTTGGCACATGAAACGACAGACATCTCCTCTCTTGGCTCATGGGACCTCCGTGGGAAAATTGGTACTGTCAGCAGGTCATCCTTCCGAGGGCTAGGGCTCGCCCAATCGGGTGGCGACGAGAGTTTCTGCAGTCTCCAGCACCATGTGGCAAGGAGTGGGCCGCCTGCTAGCGACAGCTGTCCAAGCCCTGTGCATTTCCCGCTTGTTGAGGCTGACGAGGTTGGCCAGCTTCTGTCCAGGCAGGGCGATGCAAGAACGGTCAGATGTAGGTTCAGGTCACCAATTAAGATTAGGCGGGTAGGCTTACCACTGCGAGCCTTACCATTGTCTGCAAGTCTATATAACTCAGGTTCTCCCACCCCAGATCACTGGCTTCTCCCACTCGCATCAACAGTACAACATTCACTAAGAACAGTCGCTTAACATTCGTTACAAGCTCAAACAATACCATTCTTTTACCAAACAACGTCGAATAATCAATCAATATGCGCTCATTCGCCATCGCCGCCGCTGCTGCCACCCTCATCTCCTCCACCTATGCCGCCCCATGGGGCTCGGGTGGTCTCTGGGGACGCAAGCCTGACCCGTCCAAGTGCTTGACCAAGGATGCTGCGACAGCTCTTGCGGAAGGCTTCCAAGGGCTCATCGTCGCCTACACCGACGCGAACGCTGACGCACTGCTGGCCGACGACCTTGTTGATTTCTCCAACTCGATCAAGTCTCTGCAAGGCTTCCCAGTCGATCCCTTTACGCCTGTCTTCCCCACGAAGGAAGCCTTTAAGCAAGGCCAGGGCGCTCAACCCTCGGTCCCGCTCGAGATCCTGGCTATCGATGCCTTCAACTGCCAGAACGTCACTCTCCGGTAAGTCCTTCCTGTACCAACCCATGGCCTCGTTGACGCGCGGGCCATGGTGGGAATCATTGGCGGGAGCACATGGCTAATTTATTGTTACAGCTGGGACGCCAACTTTGGCAATGGCAACTTGGTGGCCGGCATCACTCACCTGACCGCGTCCAACAGCCAAGGCAAGCCCGACACCTGGCAAATCAGCGCCATCTACACCGAGTTCGACAGCTTGACCTGGTTCAAGGCCATCGGCGGAACCGTCACCCCTCCCGGCCAGTAAATCATGGGGACTTGAATGATGGAATCAGTTTGGCTTTCTGGGTTAGCGCATAGCGAGGACACTGGAAACAATCACGTCAATCTTCGTTGAGGCCCTGCGCTTCAGTTACACTGCGATGGACGGGATGAGGCACTGCAGCTTCTCGCGAGTTTGAACAGCAGTAACGTTGACACCTGGGCTTTGATCCTGGGGTATTAATGCATATAATTAGGAGCCGCCATATGTTCGCTTTTGCCCTTGTTATATTCTCTTGTCCCGTTTGCCGTTGCCAGGCAAGAACTCTTTCATGCAGATGTGCGAGCCAGTTGGACGGCCATTTGGCCTGTCAAGCTTCGGCGTCTAGTCCGGCAGGGTGCGTTCTCTAAGGCCAGCGCCACAGTTTTTCAGCTCGACGCGACGAAGAGTCAGCGAAGTCCAAGCACTAAGTCGTCGGGGGCCAGCACCAACCCCCAGAGATCACGTAGGTGGATCGTCAGGGATGGCGAACTGATTCCACGATTTTCGGTGGCTGGCTGTCCAAACCCACCACAGCTCAACGGTCAGCTTACTACGAGCTACCACGACACTAGGGAGGCGCTTACGAAGAGCTTGAAGTCGTGTGGTTTGCGACCCAAAGAGGCATCGAGGGCATCCTACAGTAGGTTTTGTGGGGGGCTGAAATTGCACGCCCCCAGATCGATTCCGCTTTCATGGTGGCGGCTTTGGACAAGCACGGAGACTGACGGGTCACCCAAAGCTTGACTCTTCTCTATCTTTCTCGACGTTGGTCGCCCCAAGGATCCTGCTACCCAGTAACGAGCTACCCGTTTGTAAAGGCCCACTATTGTGTACTTGATACCTCATGCGGTAAAGGTCTGGGGAAGAGGCCAGGACTGATCCTGAATCTGGCAGAAAATTGGCCGTCCGGCTCGACTTGCGACCTCATCTCGCTTTGCAAATGTCGCTGTAACATCGCAATCTACATAGTGTGTGAGGGCCCGTTCCTGAGATACGGATCTGGATGGTGTCTGTAAACGACAACCACGGCGGAGAACCGACTCGCGAACCTGGGACCACCGTCGTATGCATATTCCACACTGTATCTTCCACAAGAACCCCCGGCTCTCGGGTTCAGCACCAACCCTCCCCACGGGGCACGCGACACCGTTCCAAAACCCGATGTGAGGGAAAGGGGAGGAACTACTTCAGCCGCCGTGTGTTTATGCACAATCAATGACTTCTCCTTTTCCCCCCCGCCGACTGCAATCTCGCTAGACCTTGGATGTGCAAGCAACAACTAAAGTAGCGTCCTGCTAACATGAGCAGCAGGATTCAGGAGCAGTGGGACTCTACACAATAATACTGAAATCCTTCCTGCACTTTTGCCGAGTCCTGCTTACTGCGAGGTGACGACAACGCTCGACGATGAACAGATTACGGAAGCTTCACAATAATGCTCGATTCACAGTACGGGAAATTATGCACCCCCATGCCTGGGAGTGCCGCTGTCCCGGAGATCATGTTTGGTATGAGAGACTTTCCACAACGTCTGGAGAGATCGCCGCTGGTCAACAGAGCAACCAGGGCACCGGGGCCAGACGACCCTGAAAATGTTCAAAGGGTTTCTATCAGCTGAAGAAGAACCCCGAGGACCTTTGCTCTCCTTGTACTGACTACGTACTGACTACATACTGACTATGTTGTAGAGATATGTCCGTCTCCCCTGTGATGATCCCTATATGGCAACGTTATGGGTGACATATTGCAGAGCAAAGCCGAAACCACTCTCGAGATACATCGATCCCGACCTGTTTGGTGGTCACACCGGGGATCGGTATGGTACTCGCCTTGTCTCTAGCATTCTGCTCTGCGCGGAATCCGTGCAAGGATCGCGCTTAGCTTTGTCCGCTCTCTGCTCCTGGATACATGGATACATGACTCGATTACCCAGCTGCGCACTGCATTGTGTCTCTTGATCCAGCAGATATCTCCTGGCCCAGCGGACTCCCATCGACGCAAAGACGGCGCGGCACCTGGTCCGAACGGGGAAGGGCTCGGGCTTTGACCAGAGCAGACTGAGCCAGGGCGAGACGCGCAGTGCGCCGCGTGACTACCTGCACAGGCCGAGCTCAGGTCTAGAGGTATTGTACTGCAGGTGAGCCGACCACTGTTCACCGTGTCTACGATCATACCCTGTATACAGAAGAGCCTCAGATTCGTCCGAGCTACCCCGTACTACGGGTCCAGAAATCCGGCTCTCAGACCCCTTTTGATCCTGGATGTTGTGCGCACAAAGAAATAGTCACCACTTCACAGTGCACGATATCCTTTTGGCTCAACAGACCCAGGATACACGATCGAAGGTGCATAATATCGCCCATCGCATTCATTGGCTGCAATGACCACATCCTTGCTCCGTCCATAGCCACAACTCTGCGAGTATTGTGCATGAACTGTACAACGTACGCGATGTGATACTGTGCGATCTCGTCGAACAGGTGGGATTATCAGCAGACAGACATCTGTCCCCAATGACTCCTCTCAAACAGGATATGAGCCACGTGTTTCGACACCCGCGAGCCGACGGACAGGGCGAGGCTCGAAACCTATGTCCCGTCCGTTCGTCGAGATGGCCAGCGCTGCGCAGACCCACACTCCGAGAGACTGGAGTTTGCCTGATTCGGTGGACCTTGCGACAGAGTAAACATTACACAGTAATCGCAGATGCTCGGATACGACCGGACGGACTGTACGAGGAGGAAGGGCAACAGGCCCCCACGGTCCTTGAGAGTGTGCCGGTCTTGGACTTGGAATGCCCGTGCGAACGTGGTCCACTGTGCGCGCCAAAGCAACTCGCGGCGGTCAGTGTCGTCTACGCCTTCTATACAGTACGACCACGGAATGTCCGTGCGGCGGCGTAGCTCAAATTGGTCTGTGTTCAAGTCACGACCACGCACGATTCAATGATGATGTATTATCCAAGACAGGGAGGATGGATGGATGGATGCAAATCGCGAGGCACACGAAAACAGCCATTTGGAACTGCAATTCCCTCTGGGCCCCTCTCACGGCGCGAAGCATTGCCCCAGGAGATACTGGAAAGCCAGGCAGGCATGGTCTTGGGACACCAGGTGGGTGCCCTCTACGAGTACCAGGAAAGCAAATTCATGTTTTTTCTTCCCGCCGATTGCTTGACAGTTGCACAGCTTGGCCCCATCTGGTGCATTGATATCGAGACATGCTCCTGAAGAAGCAGAGAGAGAGAGAGAAAATCAGTGTTTTGTTTTTCTATGGAAGGATGCTGAGAGTGAGGGAGACTTTATAGTCTAGCTCGCTTACTGCCTACTGCAACTGCCTACAGGCAGCTGGTGCACATAAGTGAAGTACTGGCTTCGACAGCTCCCATTCCTTTCTGGCCGGTTTCCCTACCAAGGACTCCAAGTTGTCCAGAAATAATGGAGAGCCACCGTGCGCGGTCGTGTATCTTGCAAGACCTTGTCGCGGTCCCAATGTCCCCAGCCGATTCTCACCGTAAGTCATCCCCCATTGATTCCATCAGAGTCGGTTCCCCCTCGGCTTGTGTGTCATTTCCGTTCATACGTTCGACCGTGCCATGTATTCCGGCCGATCTATAGTCGGCGCGACAGGTCCGCCATGCAAATGTGTAGATTTCGTCCTCTTTAACACTTTATTCGTACTTCTCATGATGCGTAGCTAGTCGTATAACATGAAACGATCGCTGCGTGGGTCCAACATAAACCCATCGCTGTGTGAGTCCTCGACGGGGACCAGCCCTGCGCCGCAATCCAAAAGGCCTATCCGACAAATGAATTTGACCCCGAAAGCACGAAATACCAGAAATGCCGCCCCGCCCAATCGAATCAAATCCGCACTGAAGATAGCCCCGAAAACTTTTGATTAACACGGTCGTCCGGACCAGCTCGGGGACCGCCACAAATTGTCAAAGGGCGATACAGCGTCTTCACTGCTCTCTCCTCGCGCCGATAAGGCTCCAGACGAGTTTTCCAACGATTCCATCCTTGGCCTTGTTTTGCATACCTCGAGACCGCCGGGAGCTCATCGTGTTGGTGCGCTTCCTCTTCCGTGTTGAAGGCGGCCTCGAGGGAACCGTATTCGAGCATCGTGCTGACGTTGAGATGTTCTTGGTGCTGGCCTTGGTCCAGAGCTTAACAGGAGGTGGAGAGTTGGTGCCCTCATGGTCCGAGGTAGCTACCGGTGACCGACCAAAGCCACTGCCGGTGTCGGATAATCTGGGCCCGAAACCAGACGTAGGACTCTCCGGTGGTGTACCCGTCGCCTGCGTCCTGTGTCCCACTTCTGTGATATAACGTTCGGCGGCACGGAGATCTGTGAAGCTCTTCTTGATGCGTTCAAAGGCGGATTTGCCACGTCTGTCGGTGCCGTCGTCGTCGTCATCGTCCCAGTCAATGTAGGAGACCTCTTGCGAGCTTTGGGAACATTGAGGTAGGTGTATCGTTGTGGCATTTATGTTCGGGAAGGGCGTTGGCCGAGATGGGAAGTCTCTCGAAGGGTACGTTGGCGAATTCACCCGGTCAACCCGGCCGGTTCGATGGGTAGGTGGGCTGCGCAATGGTGAAATAACGTCGCGGATCCGTGTGCCGTATATTATGCCATCAATTGGATTCCCAGGAGCGATTCCCCTTTTTCGGCCGGAAGAAGTCATCAAGGATTGCTGCTCTGGGGAACTGATGATAGTACATGGCGAGCCCTCGGTACCGAACGATGATCGAGAATTGTCCGAGGTAGTCAATGACGGGACGGGAGTGACGGGTCTTGTAGGAGGACACGATATGCTTGCATTTGAAAAAGACACTTCCTGTAGCTGAGCAGACAGGCCGTGCAACTGTTCCCTGTTTGCACTCCTGTCTGAGATTGTGTTGGTTGCGTGCCCGTCGGGCGGCGTAGGCGTTGACGACAATCGACACTCGACTCTGCCGGCATCCGAAGGCGGTAGCTGAATCAGCTGAGGAGCTGGCGGAAGCAAGCTCGCAGGCCGATCGTGACATTGTCCAGAGACCCATTCACCAAAATCAACCAGAGTGGCGACAGAACTTCGCTCGGTGCCTTCTCTGGAATGGCTGCGCATACAAGGCGACTGTGATGGAGACCTGCTTGTCCACAGGGCCAACATTTCTTCCGGATAGAGCGATGCTGACGGAACTCGATGCGAGAGAAGCGAACCGCAAGGCCTTAGAGTTGGGGAGTCATAGAGATCTTGACGGTACGTAGCTCCCTCAGCTGTGGACTCCTCAAATGTGAAATGTGGATTCATATTGGTTTCTGGTCGGTGCGTGTTGCGGAATTCGTCAGGTATATAGCGGTAGGTGTCCAGCATTCTTTCGCAGATCCAGGCTTTTTCGTAGAGAAAGTTGTAGATAAAACCCGTGGTTGTGTTTCCTATCCAGAATCAAGTGTCAAATGTAGATCAAATGGCAACAAAGAAACGAGATCCAGGTGACTGAGTCGTTTTGTGGAATTCGTACCGTGGACAGATTCGCCTCACGTCAGGTTTCGCAAAGATCTATTATGGCCGGGTGGTGTTCTATACTAGACCGAAGGGGGCTCAGACTGAGCAAACGCCAACCCCGGACTCCTGGGCTGTCAGGTTACCATGCGGATTGCATTATGTATCTCATGGAGACCGGCAAATCGTTCCGAACAGGCGAGCCCTGCGGTTGAATGTCCGAAGTCGTGTGGGAGGAGGATACTCTTTGGCGAGATACCATGTTGAAGCATTTCGAGACCCTTGATGAGCACGCGGATTGGTCATGCACCAGGCATCGGCCTACCCAGGGCGATCTGGAAGCAAGAAGAGGAGCCTGGAGCAGCCAAACGTGACCTCCAGTGGCAGTGGTGGGACCACATGTCCAATGCTCCGTGCATAGAGTTGAGGCCGTACGGTGGGTGAGGCGTAGCACCTGCAGTGACAAGGTGGCGATCTCGGGTTTGCAGAGAGGTGCGACAGATGCTTGCTCCGAATTACCTTTGCCTCTCAGCCACTTAAACGAAACGGATTATCAACGACCCTGAAACGTCAGTGCCTGCGTCGGTCGACAGAGCGCGGATGCAGAGGCGAGAACGGAGACAAGGTCGGATCAGTCTAGCTCCAGATTTGACAGCAGCAGGAGTAGGCTAAGGAGGCTCACATACCTTTTCGCGCTGTTCGGACCAGAGACGGATCCCCCTTACGTCGCATTCCAATCGAACTGTGCAGCAAGCACCGACTCGACTGTGAGAGGGGGCGTATTCGCCAAGCTAGGGCCTTTGCTCGTTGACCATATCTAAACACATCCGGGCCGGTGTGGACTGAGTTTTCAAGCAGCAAACATCGCCAGGAAAGGGTTCGACGAGACACATGACCATAGCGACTATGTTCTGCCAAAAGCAACGGTATTGTCGACCGGCCTGTCAGGAGTCCTGCCAACCACCCATTCGCAGACCACCCCGGAGCTTGAAGTCAAGGGTGGCGAAATGAAGTCGGATGAGGCTGACACGTTGACGGATACATAGACTTGACATCCGCCCGGCGTGGCCAAGGGTTTAGTGTGCCAGAACTGCGGCGTCCGACGAGCTACAGGGCCAAGAAACCACATGCATAGCAGCTCACAGACGTTAACCTGCTTCTCGGCGGACTGGGATCCTTGTCGAGCTGGAAAGATGATAGATATTCTCGAGATCAGCCTCGAGGTGGCGAGGTATATCCGGGTAGCAAGAACTCTAATCTTCGATAGAGACTCCAAGCGTGAGATCTCGTCTCACGCGGCAGCGTACGGCACGACGGAAGGGTGCGCTCCTCCAACAAGGGTTCAACCTTGATGCTGTCGGCTCTTGCTTGAAGGCTTGTCGATGATGGGCTCTTTGTGTTGCTGATTCGCGGTGACACGCCGGCCCTCGACCAATCCCACGCACCAGCCTGCTCCCAAGAGACGGTGGCCAACAGCAAAGACAGCTCTCATCAGCGCTGTGCCTGGTTCCTGGACAGATGGTGGGGTCGACAAACATCACTTGCTGTAGGAAGTCTCTCGCTTGATTTCCTCATCTTGAACCAAACATGCTTGAAGCAAGCTCGCTTCCTGAGGCTCGGGAAGAGGAACAGCTTGGGAGAGTCGCTTGCGGCAATGAGGCGGAGGCTGTGGCTGTGGCTGCTGGATCCCGGGCTCGCTGGGTCTTGTGTAAGGTACTAGACCAGGAACAGGGAATGAGGCGCTGAGATGACGATGTCGCAGGCTTGCCAGCTCATCGCTTGCGCCCAGCCACTCCATATCGCAAACAGCGTCGCGCAACCCACAACGAGAGCACTCTCAGCCAGAAAATTCGAGACTATGGCCAGCACGTCGCAGCCGAACTGGACGAGCTATTCTTCAAGCCTCGCGTATCCGAATCTAGTCCCCGACTGGCGGTAGCGGGCATCACTCGAATTGTCCGCCCGAGCTGCTGGGTGCGGAATCTCAGGCCCATCTGAGGTGCAACTCATCCTCGGATCGAGTCGAACTTCATGCTGCGTTCTACGCCGGATCACTTGCGCCTTCGACCGACTGCTGAGTTCATTGTCACCAGGTGCAGCTTCGACATCGTTGAGGCTGCGCGGTTTCGCTCGTGGCTTGTGTAAATTGAGAGTGAGGTGTTGAACAGTTCATTGGATTTGGCCGCCTCCAGCAATTGCATGATTCGACGCCCTCCACCACCACGCATTTCTACACAGCTCGTTGATCGTCCAAACCCAGCAGGACACTGTCTATGTCTTTAACCGTCGTGTCCGATTCACCCAGCTCGTTCGAGACGCGACTGCGCCGCAATTGTGACGCGCGACTTTGCTTCGTTTCGCTTGAAGCCCAACCTCCATGATTTCAAGATTTGACCAGCCACCACCACGACCACGGCCAGGAGCACCACGCGCACAACTACCACCTCACCACGTCAATGCCTCTGCTGCTGCTCCTACACACCCTACCTGGCTCCATTCCTGCTTAGCCTCATTCCCTCCGCCTCTCCCTCTGGCGGCAGCTCCAACACCACCGGCCTGGCGCTTTAGGCGCATCCTGCACATTGTCCCACGATCCCGACCTCGTCCACCACGCAGTCTTCGAGGTGTCTCTCCCCGAACAACCTCGCTTTGACGACCTTTACGAGTACTACGACCCCGAACGAGACCCCGACCCCTTGCCCCAACGCCAGCAACAAAGATCAACACCTCTTTCCCAGCGACGTCCGCAATCCTCCCTATCCAGCGGTGCTCGGTCTCTGAGGAGGACCCCGAAACTACAAGAGAGACGGGCGCCATCGACGACGAGGTCGCCTCTCCGTGCGAGAAGGTCACAGTCTGTCTCTGCCACACCGGCAGTGCGCTTTGACGAGTCCGGGTCCACAACCCCCAGCGTTTTCCGGCGGCTGGTCTTAGGGGACGACTATCGACCTCAGAGGACACTTCACATCTCTCGACACATCCACGACGCGATCCTTTTTGCCCTGGAAGCCATCCGTAGGGGTGATGGTGTCAATGCGCAGCCACTGACCGCGGATCCACTCGAAGAAGAGGCTCGAATGTCAGATTTGGCCAGGGGCGCTCTGCCCGGCACCGCTGCTGCATCTGGCCGATCTCAGAATGGTGGAGCAACTCGTGCAGCTCCGGCTGCTGGAACTGGTCCGATACCTACCGAACCCCCACGATATCGTACTCCCACCGATGTCATGCGAGAACGAAGAGCCAGGGAAGCTCGCAAAGCAGAGGAGGCGGCGGCCAGACTGCGTCAAGAGGACGAAGCAAGAAGATTACAAGAGCAGCAAGTTGCTGGCGTTGGGGTTGATAGCACACGAAGACCACCCGTCCGGGTACCAGGTCAACCTGGTCAACCCGCCCAAACCTATGACATAGGCGGGCCCCCTGTCGCCCCTTCGTCAGCCCGAAGACAGGAAAACATACCACCGACCCAAGCCGCCACGAGGAATCCAGGCCGGCCTCCTCAAGCTGTGCCTACGGATCCCAGACTTCCCGCCACCACTGACCGTAACCGCACGGAAGCTTACGAGCAGCTCAACATCCCTGCGCCAGCTAAACCAACCGAAGCAAGAGCCGCACAACAACCTCAGTCACAATCGAGAGCTCAACCCCCTCCTCAGCCGGCTCAGCAACCCGGCGCTCAGGCTGTTGGAGCAGCGGGCCGAAGTCGTTTCCCAAATGCCTTTGAGCGATGGGAAGATCTCTCTGCTCATTGGGAGGGCATCGTCTCATCTTTCATTCATCGGATGGAGGAAAACGCCAACGAACTAGCCGGAAAGCCCATCGACCGACAGATGGCCCGTCAGATCGACGATCTATCACGAGCGGGTGCCAATCTTTTCCATGCTGTCGTGGAGCTGCAACGACTCCGAGCCTCTTCCGAACGCAAGTTCCAGCGGTGGTTTTTCGAGACTCGGCACGAGCAGGAACAAGCGCAAGAACGACAAGCACAGCTTGAAAACCAACTACGTGCGGAGCGAGAAGCTCGGACGGTTAGTTCCTCTTCAATAGAACAGGTTCGCGCCGAGAAGACAAAGGCGGAAGAGCTAGTTCGAGAGATGCGGCGGGAATTGCAGATCAGCAAAGAAGAAGCCAGACGTGCCTGGGAAGAGCTGGGGAGGCGAGAGCAGGAGGAGCGTGAGAGGACCATTGCCTTGCGAAGCGGCGAGCCTACCCTTATTGGTGGCGTGCAGGTCGTCCCGATGCAAGGTCTTCCAAGTCGACAGGGAACCCTTCAGCGACCACAAACCAGAGATGGGCCGACTGCTGGTGCAGGACCGACGACTATGTCCGGTCAGCAGCTACCACTACGACCGGGTTCTCGCCAGACGACAACAACATCTCTCGACTCTCCCGGAGAAGAAAATCGACAGTTCACATATCGTCCCGAAACAGGCGCCTCTCCCACGGTGACCGATCCTTTCACGGAATCATCCCGGCAGCAAAGTCAGCTTCGTCGTGAACCCGATACTCAATTCTACACTACGCCCCCACGCCCTACCCAGCCTGCCACGAGTGGTGCTGCGATGGCCGCCGCGCGAGCAGCCGCAACAAGCGGAGCGTCACCCAGCCGCGTTGGTGAACAGCCACGATACTACCAGACTGCAACCGCGACGACCAATGCTCAAATGTCTGGCGGGTTACCAACACCTGCTCGCCAAGGCACTGGGGGCACAGACACATCGTACTTCGCGTCCAACGCTTCCGTAGCACCGTCCGAAGAAGAATACCACATCAATCCAGACGGTAGCTACACCCGCGATGCACAAGGTCGACGCATCCCATACCGGCAACCGCTCGGACGCAGCCCTTCGAGGCAAGCAGAGCAGGAGCAGGAGCAGGAGCAGGAGGAAGGCGAGGTCTCGGAAGAAATGTCCGAAGAGGACGACGACCATGCCGCGGATGCCGAACGCGAGAGAATGTACGCCGCCCAATACCGCCAATCGCACGGACAACAAGGCCTTCCTCCTGCAACGAATGGGAACATCCCTCGAACAACCTCGGGCGCACTGCCGCCCATCCCTCAGGGCGCAATTTATGAGGGAGAAGGATATGAGCATGACCCTACAGTTCCCACCCCACCTGCAGTAACCCAAGCCATGGCTCGGTGGGAGACCTTGCAGGGTCGCACGCACGGACATCCCACCCGGCTGAGCGACATCATCGAAGAGCAAACTGCGCGGACGAGTCCGTCGAGGACGAGCTACGTGTCGGGAGGCGGAGTCTTACCCGGAGACCCGGGGACCGGACAACCTCCGTCGAGTGAGAACACTTCGAGGCGATGAGAATAGCGGGCCCGCTTTCGACCCTCCGAGCATCCAAGGCACCACTGCGCCAAAGCCTAGCTTTCGAAAGCCCCTGAGTTGTGTCCCTCTCTAAAACCAGCATTCAAAATCCCGGATCCCGGACTCAGTCGGTGGCACATCTCTCTATCATCTCGTCCCTTCATCCACAAAACGACAAAATATTTCCGTTTCGGATCCCCCTGCTTAAAACAAAGTGCCATAGACCATAACATATCAAGTCAGTACCCTAATCAACCGGCGGTGATCTTGCTCGAAACTTTCGATTCAGACCGTGTACAACACTCAGAGGTGTACATCTCCAGCTAATGAATGCACATACGTACGGGCGCTGAAGCAGGGAATGACAAGAGCCGGAGAAGGTGGAAAAAGTTTGGAGGACGAGCCGCATATCCAGAATCCCGGAGTTTGATTCACGCCCAAAATTCTTTTTCGGTAAGCCCCAGGGTGTCTTACACACTGTTCATAGCAAGCGAGGGCGCAACTGGTTCTAGCAGGAGTCCTTGGTGTCTGACCGGGCCTGAATTCGCGGACATTTGGTTCAGTGTTAGTTGAAGAGAACCCTGAAGGTTTTAGATCGACTGTTGCTCCTCCTCGCAGCCGGAATTTTCTTATTGATCCTTTCCCAAAAGCTCACTTATGTGATCTAAGACGGTTTCTTTCTTACGGGGTACTCATGGTGGTACACTACGTGACTCGCTCGATAAGGTCTCTGCCGTGGCTACCTGTGCCCTTGTCCCTTTCATGTTGGTATACCAAATGGGGAATCGCTTCATACAGGCCCTTGCCTCTCCAAGTCGACATCTGTTCGTCGTGATCCATTTTCTCTGTTTTGTTGCCATATGTTATTCTGTACAATTCTGTCCTCTTTGAGTCACCCTCTCCACTACCACAGACCCACATTCTTGTCCATTCACGACGAAGGCGTCCAAGCATCCGGGTTCGACTCAATGTAGGGCTGGGTAATACACCAACAAGTTTGGTGGAATGGATTGAACAGAGCCGGTGTTGGATCGCCCCCATTGTTGAAACATGTCATAGCTGCACAAGCTTCAGCTGTCATTTTCGCGTTCATCAGGTCAGGTTGAATGAAGTCACGGGCAATGAGGTTCGGAATTGCGTCTGGCCGCCGTATCACGAACGTCTCATCTGCACCATTGAACAAGCAGGCACAGGTGCCGTCGGTGCTCTTGACCATCTTCATGTGGTAGAAGGGACAAGCATAATTGCAGTTGACACGCCAGATCTGTCGCTTCACTGGCCGGACATATTCGATGTTATCAGTCACACTGCGTCTCGTGGCTCCAGGGGGCAAAGCGGTGAGTGCCAAAGCCGTACTCTGGGTGGTGTTCATCTTGTCGATGTCAATGACTAGGTTGTTGCCCACCACCGAGTATATACTGCCGTCGCTGAGCTTCTGGATCCAATAGGTGACGATGTGTGGCTGATACATATTGACGGCGATGCATTCACAATCAGCAACCACCGTCTGAGGCTGTCCTTGACCTTGATTCATGACCAGTGGCACCAAGCCAAGATTCGGCTGAGGGTCCACCAGTCCGATGGCGCCACACGGAAGGGATGTGCTGGCGTTGACAACGAGGGTGTAAGCCACTGGGCCGGCAAGCTGCATATGCACCCGGATCACGCCGTCAGGGAAGTAGGGAACCATGGAGCTGACCATTGCCGTGTTTTGCGGTTGGGCGGCCAGTGCCTGCTGGATGAGCTCCGGGGTGATGTCTTGTTTGGGTGGAGGAATGAATGTCGGTACTGGATCTTGCGATGCTTGCCGGCGCTGCAATCCATGTATACCCCGCTGGTCAGCTTCGACAAGCGTGCTGTAGACTTCGTCCTCTTCCTTGTGCCAATCTTCCATCGTGCCGCAGTAGCAAGAGTTCAAGAGTACTGAGTAGAAAGGTTCCTGGTCGCCTTCGCATTGTAGCCCTGCGCAAGGTTCGGTGAACTTGGTAGTCAGTACCGGAGCGAAGCAGATTTGGGGTGTCTTACAGGTGGAGTTGGGCAGGAGCAGGCAAACGAAGATAGTTCGAATGTCGCAGTCCCAGGGAGACAGCTCTTAGACGAGCACAACTGATCAAGCGCTGTGAAGAACTGGTCGTGAACAACGCGGAGCGCTTTGTTCATACTTGTCGGTGCAGCGGCTGATTGTCCGGCGAGCCATGCCATGACGAGAAGCGACGTTCTGGACAGCATCTTGGTTGGATGTATGCCCTGCCTTGAGATCCAGGGAGAGTAGGGTGCCGTAAGAATGAAGGGCGATACGGAGTGTAAGAAATATTCAATAATAGAGGGCCCCAGGTCAAAAAGATTGAGGCAAGATGATCATCGCAAAGTGAAGATTCCGAAAGATACTGTCGCACCTCGTATGGCAGCGGCCTCGAAGTGCACCTACCTGATCCCCCATGTTGCCATGAAAAGTGCAATGGCGAGGCAGAGACCGCTTTCTATCGCAATGCACTTGCCTCGCAGTATCTATGCCCCTGATAATCACTGAAGGTCGGGAATGGTGCAGTATCAGAGGAAGATTTCACCATGAAGCGTGCTATTGTTTACCTGTCTACAGCAAAGCGTCGAGCTTCGAGAAGCTACTTGTATGAGGTCAGTACACAGTTTGCACAAGGAAACCTGAAGGCTGCGAGGCTGCGGATGGAAGCGCCAACGGGCAGGGCTGCGCTAGACTAAAACAGACTAGCACGAGGCCTGGTGCCTGGCTGCAGGCTGCAACAGAACGTGATCATCCTCCCGCAACCTGGCCAGAGCAGAAACAACACACACGAAGCAGTCTCGGGCGATGGGCTAAACTACCCACTATCCAGTGATCTTCGCCCTTGCCGACATGAAGGCCTTGATCAATCCAAGTTTTCCATTTCTCTAGCGTTACCTTGATGATGTGTTTCACTCTGGCTGCTCGACTTTTCTGCTGGGAGGCTGGGAGTCCTCGCAGCCCCAACCACCGCATCTTCACCTTCACCACGGGCGCAACGGCTGCCATCCCAGCCTCACCTGCAGCTCATGCTTCTTAATTCTCCGATGGCCACTTTCAAACTCGCGACCACGTTCTTCTCTGTCTCCAGCAACGTGCGTGCTTTGCGTTTTGTTTGTTCCTGCTTTCTGCCGATGATAACATCTCTGGAGTAATGAACCTGGTTACCGAGAACAACGCTCACATTCATACAGTCAAGCAAGCCACGCCTCAATATACCAAGTCCGACTCTCTGAAATCATCCTCTGCGACCAACGAGTACTTTTCTGACTATGCTTCCGACGCCGCCAGTCAAATATCCCACGGTGGCCAAGGTTACGAGACACCTCCCTCGAGAATCTCTACGCCACTTGTACAGCCGAACCCCGTCGACTCCGAGATGACGCTCCCCGCTAGAGCCGGCGTGGCACAGCCGGCACCCCTCAACGTCAGACGCAGCCAAAATGGAGGACCACAAACCCCGGGCATGCTCTCAAGTTTTGACGAGATGAGCCCTCCAACCCCGGACGTGGACGATACCCCATATATCCGGTTCGCCATTGAGCAGCTGACAAGAGACGAGGATGTCTTGGGAAGAGGCAGAGACAGTGCGGATCCTGTTCAACCTCCGCCGGTTTCACCAGCTCCTCATCCATTTGCCCCCGAAGACAGTTCACTTGCATCAACTTCGTCTCTATCTGGTCCGCCTCCGTCCCCGCCCCCGGCCCCCCAGTCACGCTCTCCACGACCGGCGTCGCAGATAAATCGGAAGCCTGTTCCTCAAGAGGTTATGCTTCCAGTGGATCTGTCAAAAGACCTTCGGATGCGGCTCGGCTTTGTACCACTACCATTACGACTACCCATGCTCGCACTATACCTACTACTATGCCTTTTAATTATCGCCGCCCTAATATTCAGCCTCATATTCGCCGGCACGAATCACGCACTCTTTGACTACGATGGAAATGCAACAGCGCGATATTTTGTCTTTGAATACCTGCCTCAACTAATTGGCATGCTCCTGATTCTGTGGCTGTTTGTGATCGAAGCGGCAGTGTACAGGTCTCTGCCATACTACAACATGAGCCCCGGCCATCGCAATTCCTGGGTCTTGCAAGACATGCGCATCCTGCCCGCCAACTTCGTCTTACCAGATCTCACATTTTTCCGAAATCGCGAACCCCTGTTGGGGGTTGCCTTCTTGATCTTCTGGATCACGAACTTCACGGTGCCTCTGTTGGCGTGTCTGTATCAGACCCAATGGATTACAGACGACGGCCCAGCTCGCTTCCGCTGGACAGCTGTTCGAGGCGTCGGCTGGACGTTGGTGGCGTTGTACGTCCCCCTTTGCCTTGCGCTTCTGTATTGCGCTTTTCGCCTCCGACGGAGCAAGTCGAATCTGCGTTGGGATCCGGCTTCATTGGCAGATCTCATCTGCTTGTTCCGGCGGTCCAATGTGGGCTCGGATTTCGAGCAAACCGAAATATCACCAGAGCCAAACGCACAGGTTCCACCAAGAAACCTGCGTCTCGGGTTCTTTACCACTTCTGAAAGACCAGAGGTCTTTCATGGCGTTGGGGAGGAATACGCACCCATCAAACGACTGTCCTTCCAGACTCACGAACCGAAAGCGGCACCCCTGGCCAGTGAGTCCGCCGATCTTGAAGCTCAGCGCCTGTCCTATGGCTCGGGCTTTGCTCGCAATATCCACTCGCCTTTCGTCCGATACCGGTGGGTGCCGTGGTATCTGCGCGACTCAACTGTGCTTGCCTGGATTATAGCGGCTGTTTTGCTCAGCATCGCCTTCCTGGTTGTCAGCTTTGTCAATCGAGCAGTTCAGGACGGCTTTGATCCTCAACTCCCATCCTTGACCGACTCAAGTGGCTTCTCTCCAGCCAACTTCCTCTACAGCTTTCTCCCAACGTTCCTGGGGATGTTCCTCTTCCTTGCCTGGCAACCCATCGATATGTACTATCGCGCAGTCCAGCCATTCCGCAATTTGTCACAACCCACCGGAGCCACTGCACGCCACTCGTTGTTGCTCTCCTATCCAGCTTATGGACATCTGGGTGTCGTTACGCGGGCTTTGATCAACAGGGATTACAAGGTGGCATATGTCACCTTCATATCACTCATTTCAGTGTCTATACCAGTGTTGGCTGGTGGAGTATTTACTGCTGTATTCTTCTCCTCGGATAACAGGGTCAGGATTGTCGCCAGCATGCCGGGCTACTATGCTCTCTGTGTCTTGGTCACGGTCTACGCCCTCTCATACCTCATCATTTGGCCCACGAGAAAACGCTACCTACCCCACCACATCAACACCACTGCTGCTCTTCTGAGTTGGGTCTATGCGAGTCCTTTGCTCGGCGACATGGCTTTGCAGAACATTGAGACAAAGACGGAGCTGGTTGACAGGCTTACGGGCTCGACTGTTGCCTCAGCTGCATTGACGGGTGATGGTGTTGCGGATGAGAAACGTCACCGTCCTCAAAGAGGAGTTCGCCGTTTCGATGCTAATGCAGGCGTGAGGTATGCCTTCGGCATCTTCGTGGGACGAGACGGAAAAGAACACCTTGGCATCGATCGGTTGCAAAGGCCAGGCAGCCGGGAGATGCTTGTTGCGCCGGCTTCACAATAGCGTGAGATCCACGTCGACAAACATCCGTCACGAGCCTACGGTCTCCCAGCTGCCCAGCATGATGGGAAGGGATTTCCATGTTTGACGACAACATTCTTGCACGATACGAAATTTAATGCGAAACATGTACCACCACGCTGTGATATGGTGGTTTATAGGGAGCGAAAAACGCTATGGTTTACGGTATACAGCATAATGGAGATGGCAGGTTCGGTGCCTACTGGAGATGGAATGCGACGTTCATGGCCATGCAAAAGTACATGGACGAAGATATGCCGGTTCACACCCAACAATGTACAGATACACGAGATACCCAACACTGATATTGATGATACTATTTGCAGTCCACCTTGGTCCCTCCACTCGCTCCTCACGATCACCATCTGCTCCCGCAACGGTGGTCGGAGGCTCGAGGAAAGTGTTGGAACATCTGTCCATGCAAGGCTTGTTGAGTCCCTCGACTTTGTATCGCTGATGACAATGGACGATTGACTACGGGAACACGCACTGTTATATGAGCTCGTTTCTGAACGTTCCGAGAGCTGAGCTGCATACACGTCGCCTATGCGCGGCGCGATCACAAGCGCTGCGCAGCTCTCATTTTCATTATCACTGCCTCCCTTTTGTGCTATGTGATCCTCACCATCAACTGAGTCCACAGAAATCAGTAACTCATTCGAAGTTATCGGCGCCTTCTTCATGGACGTCCTTCGCACGACCTGTCCCACAAGATATCCTGGCACCGCACCGTCCTCAACTGCCACGGCTACACCTTTGGGCTTGGCACGAAGAGTGTCGAGTGGCCGGAGTCGCCTAGAGACACTACGCGATCCTGTTCACGATGTCATCCATATCCACAGCACCCCTCATCTGCTCGTGGGACTGTTCAACCACAGGGCCTTGATGTCAAAAGCACGCCATCCTCTCATACCGCCTCGTATAATGCCATTCCTGGACAGCGGCCCTTCTTGCCACCTCCTCTCGAGTGGCATTTTATCTGAAGCAGTGCTGGCAAGTGTCTACTCTACTGACCCAGTCGACACGAGAGTATACGCGACGTGTCGACACGTAAGTCGACACTTGGAGTAGGCAATTCTATACACCTAGATGGACTTTGCTCGACTATTTACTACCCTCTATTAGGACCAGCTTAGTATATTAGTCATTCTCCTTACTTATGCCACAGAACAACAATACTACTGCGTCAATTACGCCACAAGAGTCAACAGAGTCAACAGAGTCAACAGAGTCATGCTAATGATATCAACACTTGCCAGCACTGATCTGAAGGAATGGAGCAAGGATTGCACCTTGAGACAGCCGTTCAGCTCTGGCCAGGAACAATACAGAGAAGCCGCTCTTCCTTGAATTAGCTGCCGATCCGGCGACCAAACGTGAAGGAATCGGCGGAAGATGTTCTGGGGGAGTGTGAAAATGGTCGGTCAACATTTACCATTGGGACACGCCTGCCATTTTGGGTGGGCACGAGGCTCAGATCGAGCCGATTCTCCAGTAATACTACCCGTCTGCCCAGAGACCGAACATCTTGTCTCCTTGGCCAAGACCGAAGCATGTCCGCATGAAGATCAGATGACAGTCGAGCCATGGACTTCTCTTACCAGACCTGGACCAAGCGGAAACATCTTCGAGAGTTATTCAATACGATGGGCGTGAAGCCGGTGGACGCTCACGGCTTTCTCGATGACTCGAAATGTCATTGGCGATTGGTGCTTTTAGCTAGAGTACAGAAGTGAGTGTCGCTTTTACAAACTCTGTCGCGTGAACCGTCATTTCCTTGGATAATGACCGTTTGTCAATGTCACGCCTTCTTTGGAGCCAAATCCATGTTGATGGTTATGGTCTTCGCTTGAAGGTAACCTCTCAACCCCTCGTATCCGCTCTCTCGGCCATGGCCAGACTGCTTGTAGCCTCCAAAGGGTGTCTGTGGCGAGACCTTGTACGCTTGGTTGACTCCCACGTTGCCAGCTTCAATCTTTGATGCGACACGTAAAGCCCGGGCGATATCGGCGGTAAAGACCGATGCTGCAGTGGTTAGCATGTAGTGGCTGGCTGAGAAGGCGTTTCACTTACATCCCAGACCATAGGTCGTGTCGTTTGCCAGCGCGATCACCTCCTCCTCCGTCTTGAAAGTCCGGACAGATATCACAGGTCCGAAAATCTCATCTGTGTAGACGCGGCTCTTGACGTCGGGATTAAGAAGCACGGTAGGCTGGACGAACGTCCCCTTGGCGCCTAGCCTGTCGCCACCAGTCAGGACTTGGATACCCTCCGCCTTGCCGTCGTTCAGGAAACTCATCACACGGTCGAATTGCTTCTTGTCAGCCAATGGACCGAACGCAGTCTCTTCCAACGAAGGGTCGCCCATCTTCTTGGCCGCATCTTCGAATGCCTTCTTGATGCCCTCGATGAACTTTGGAGCGATGCCTTCTTGGACGAAGACTCGCGAGGAGGCGAAGCAGACCTGGCCCGAGTTGCGCAAGAAGCCGGTCGAGTTGTGTAGAAGCGCGTTGTCGAGGTCGGCATCGTCGAAGATCAGAGCAGGCGATTTGCCGCCGAGTTCGAGCGAGACGTGCTTCATGTTGCTCTTTGCCGCGGCGATGGTCACCGCGCGACCACCAGCTGCCGAACCGGTAAAGGCAATCTTGGAAATCTGCATGTGGGAGGCTAGCATTGCTCCCACCGGCGCGGCGCCGACAACGACGTTGATCACCCCAGGAGGGAATCCGGCCTCGTTGACTAGCTCTCCATACAGACAAGCGCCCAGTGGGGACTTCTCGCTCGGCTTGAAGACGAAGGTATTCCCAGCCGCAAGGGCCGCAGCCATCTTCCAAGCCGCCAAGGCGTGAGTGCCATTCCATGCCGCGATGCCGGCGCAGACTCCAAGCGGCTCGTACGCGACGATCTTGTACGAGCCGTCTCCTTCAGGCGGGTAGCTTTCACCGGCAATTTTGCCCGCAAAGCCGGCGTAGTATCGCCAGGTTGCGGCTGGGCCGTGGACAAAACCTTTGGCAAGGGTGATGGGTTGGCCCATACAGATACTTTCCAGCTTCGCAATGCGCTCCGCGTTTGCATCGAGAAGATCCGCAAACTTGTTCATGATGCTTGCTCGCTTGGCGCCCGGGGTGGACGACCATCCTGGGAACGCGGCTTTGGCAGCAGCGACGGCTCGGTCAACATCTACCTCTGAGGCCACCTGCACTTGGTCTGTGACGAGGGTGTCGTCGTTCGGATTGTAGATTGACAGCGTCTCCCCCGAAGACGATTTGACGTACTGCTCAAGTCAACATCACAAGAATCGCTGAGTGAGAGGATTCGGTGTCCTACCTCGCCCCATATAAAGAGGTTGGTCTGGTATGCCATGATCTCTGCAGTCCCCCGAGGTGACGACGGGCTTAGGGAACACACTTACACGGTGAACGGGAATCGTGTTCTTTATAGCGCTCTCACGGAGAGGGGGCTTGTTTCTCTTGGACTCGGCCTTGGGCGTGGAAGCGACACTCGGTTTTAAGACTGTTTCCGTTGCGTCCGATGTCAAGCACTCACTCAGATGCTGCTGTTCTATCCTCTCACTCTCCTTCCGACGACGCGGTCAGCATCTCAAGGCTACGCACCCCGCACCTCGATTTCCATTCTTGGATAGCCGAGGCTGTCCCGCCCACTGACTCCAGTGATGGCGGAGACACCAGGGCGATGGCCCTAGTGGTTGTGACGTCAGAGTGATAAGATAAGATCTCGGCCAACCTGCCCTGCAGTGTAGCCGCTCAGGATCTGACCTAATAACTGGACACGCTGGAACACCAGCACATTGTTCACCAAAATGCACGATTCTCAAGTGACAGACATGTGGAGGTTATCTATCCTGTGTGCCAGAGTACTAAGTACTTACACTGAGAAGTACTAGGTAAGCTAGCAGCTTCCGTAGGGTGCTGCGATTTAGCGCGCGTAAAGAGCTATACGAAAGCACAACTTGGAGTACTCCGAGTGATTAATTATTTGAAACTCAACAGAAATATACCATCATGCATCCTTCAAGTGGTGTCGTAATTGTATTCTGTCTTTCGTGATACAGAGACGTGTGTAGACTTGAAAACTGTGCAACTTGGTAAGGATTCTGCCGGTGGGTGTCCTAGTTATTTTGGTCCACTCACTGATCGCAGGCCAGCACGTTTCTTAACCAGCAAAACGCCACCAATGATATCGCCTTCTTGACTGTCCCTGCACTCAGTGGTCTTCGCTCGGAGCTATGTTGCAGGCATAAGCAAACAGGCAAGTCTCTGCCGACAACGTGCCGTGCGCATTGTTGGAAGGAGGTTGAGCTCCACGAGAATGTCAGCTTTATCATGCCGGCCGCACGCCCTCCTTCAGTCTTTTCAGGGCTGGTCACTTATCTGTTGACCTCGTTCGACGCCCTGACCTCTCAGCTCTACCAGAACACGATGGTTCAACGGCTACGCAGTGTGCTCCTGATGGGCTCACTGACCTACCAGGCTGTGGCCCAGTCGAACTGCTCTCAATCCTCCGCGCCGGTGGATCTGGCATGGCATCCACCCAACGACACGAACATCAACAATCTGGAGTATGTCGTTAATGGAACGGGAATTGAAGGCTTCATTTTCAATTCGTCGATCACCCCTGCGTCAACACCATACAGCACCTATAATTGGTGCAATATGCCACATGTCAGGGCCAAGGAGTATCCTCATGTTTCTCCAGACTATACCCTCGAATATGTCGAGGTTGTACGTATCGACTTGCCCTTCGCGAGTCCAAGTCTGACGTTCCGCAGATCCACCGCCACCACAAGCGAACGCCATACGCGTCCAATGCCTTTCCGCGCGAATCTTACTCCTGGAACTGTGACGACGAGGCGCTGTTCTACTATGGCGTTCCTCGACCCGACGGAAATTCGGCCCAGGTGAATTGGCAAGTCTTCACTTCTCCTTCCAACCCGTTGGCACCGGAAGGCTTCAATGGGACGTGCCAGTTCCCGCAAATTACTGGCTCAGGTCTGAACGATTCTCGTCAACACGGCCGGGATATCTTTGGCGTTTACCACGACCTACTGGACTTCTTACCGTCATCCTACAATTCATCGACAGTGCAGTACCGGGTGACCAACAACGTCATCACCTCGCAGGTCGCAGGCCAAATCGTGCAGGCACAATATTCCGGACTTCGAAATCGACCGGCATCCGTACTCATTCAGCCCGACAGCATCGACAGCCTCGAACCGGGATACACATGCGCCGTCGCGAGCGACCTCTACTCTTCTTACGGAGTGGGCAGTGACGCTGCAAATTGGACATTGCACCTCAACGACTCGATTTCTCTGTTCGCCAAGCTCGATTCGGTCAGTGGAGTGAACGCCAGTGATTCAGGATGGCACAATTGGTTCGACCACTACTTCGACAATCTGTCCGCACGGCTGTGTCATCAGAAGCCACTGCCATGCCAAATCGGCAACGCAACCAACTGTATCACCCAAGCCGACGCCGAGGCAGTGTTCCGAAGAGGTCAGTACGAATACTCCTTCATCTACCGAGACAGTCCCTCGTCGCTCCCGGCATCGACGGCGAGTTTCGGGATCTACCTGGCAGAGCTGGCTCAGAACCTCCGCGACGCCGCCAATGCCACCTCACCAGTGATCTACCGACATAACGTTGTGAGTTCTCCCACTCTCCGATTGGCCGCAATGTCTCTGTGATTCTTGTGGCGCCTGTTCGTGTCGGCAGGAGTCCCGGCTAACAAAGGGTCGCAGGCTCATGATGGATCCGTGTCCCGCCTTCTCAGTATCCTGCAGGTGGATGTAATGGTATGGCCTGGAATGGGCTCAGAGGTCGTCTTTGAATTGTATTCCCGTCAGGGCTGCTACTATATCCGAGTATTGTGGGGTGGGCAAGTGCTGAGGAGTTCGAACCCGAGTCTCGGTACGATCAACTTGATTCCCCTCCAGACCTTCTTGGCCTATATCGACGGACTGGTCGGGGCAGGCGCCAGCAGGATTCCGAGCTTGTGTGGTCAATAGCGTCCCCACGTGGGCTGGTGAAGACAAGGCTTGGGCTCGCCATGACTCGTCTGGGATGACGGGATCTGAAAACACTCGTGACATAGACTTGGTCCGCCGCGGCGGAGAATGTTCTCAATGTGCCAAAGGAGGCTTTTCTTCTAGACAACTGCGCTGGGGTGACAAGCTACCCATGATCGTCAGAACGACAATCCGTACAATACAAATAACTCCAGCACCCGGCCAAGACCATGTGCCATCTCGTTAGCCAAATCTCCCGAGAATCCCGGAGTGAGATTGGTAGAGGCACCGATTCTCCCATTCGAGACTGCTGACGCACACCATTAACTCACAGCAGATCTTCAATAGGCCATCTGGGCCCGGCTGAACCCGCCGCCCGCCTCTGGAGGATAGCCACCCCCAAATTGATCGTCTGGGTAGCCGTGTTGTTGCTCCTCGTCATACTGATCGTCTCTCATTCCCATGCCATCACCATCGTAGCCGCCCGCGCCATGGTCGTAGGAGCCGTCTTCTTCATCATAGTATTCTTCTGGCATGATCCGGCTTCCAGCAATTCGACTTCCCATGCCCGGACCACCTCCCATGCCTGGACCACCCCCCATGCCTGGGCCGTCTTGGTCATAGCCATCCATGCCGTGGTCCTCATTGCCCCAGCCATCCATGCCTGAGCCGTCGTCGGGGTAGCCATCCATACCATGGCCTCCCATGTCGTGGTCTTCATTGCCCCAGCCATCCATGCCTGAGCCGTCGTTGGGGTAGCCATCCATACCTTGGCCTCCCATACCATGGCCTCCCATGCCTGGACCATCAAATTGCATGGCCTCCCTTCCCGTAGCGCCACTACGACCGTGATCGTGAGAATGACCGTCGTCGCCGTATGACCCGTCGTCACCACATCCGATGATAAACTTGAACGTTTGATTGCCCGCGAAGCTGTTGTTCGGATTGAAGTCCTGGTGGGCCACGATGGGGACGTTGTTGTCGACATCGCCACCTTGGGCGTCCGCCCGTCCACCCTGGGCCGCACCACCCGCCCCTCCTTCAGCCGTGATGCCGCTCACACTGTTTCCTGACGCGTCACCGCCTGAAACGTTTCCCATCGAGTTACCGCTGCTGGACGAAGTGTTGGGTCCCGTCTCATTGTTGTTGGGTCCCTGATTCTGGTCACCACCCTGCAGATCACCCCCCTCCATATCACCCCCCTGCAAATCACCCCCCTTCAGCGCCTGATCTCCTCCTTTCATATCGCCACCCTGCAACGCCTGATCGCCACCCTTCAACTGTTGGTCGCCCTGGCTCACTGTCAGCACGAAATCCCCAGAGTGGGTAAGACCGAGATGCACGACTTTCAGTCGCATCGATCTCCTTCAAAGAGACTAACAGTGCTGTTGGTATTGCTATTCGAGCTGTTCGCTTCCGAGCTGGAGTTGGATTCAGAGTTGGAGTTGGATTCGGAGTTGGAAGAGGTGTCTCCGCCACCACCACCGCCGAAGAGGCCTCCAATGGCGCTACCGATGAGAGCCGCCATCTTGTACTGCGGGTAGATATTGAGGTGGGCTTAGCGTCAGAGAAGAATCGTATTGCGAGGTGGTGAAGATCGAAATACAGAGAGACTGTTGCTGTTGAGGTAGTAATGATAATGGTTTGCAAGTGACGAGGAGAAGAGGGTGAGGGCCACGACCAGGGCCTTCAATGTCCTTATATCTGGAAGACTGCTTCAGAGGGCTTCTAAATTAGACGGACCTACCTTTGCTGACTTGTCGACAGAAGAAACCGAAAGTGCCCCCAGCCTCACCTCGTGCAGAGAGTGATGGATGAGAATAAGACCCCCAATTTTAGACCTGGCCCTACCATAGTCATTTCGGGCGCTGTGCTGTGGGTGAGAAGCCGCACCGCCTCGTCAGAGACGCGCAGCCCAGAATACTTCTCATGCGATGGATGCTGGCTGGTGTGAGTGACTCCTGTGCCGGTGCCAAGAAGCGCTAGCGTGGTGGACCCACAGAGTACTGGCACTAAACCGAACAGGGAGATTCGCAAAACGGCGACGAACTAGTCTGCTCTCTCGTTATCGATAAGCTAGTGGCTGAGCGTCAACATCCCGGGTCGCTAGCCCACTCTTTCCCGCACGACCATATCCTGGCAATGGCACAGTATAGTTACTGGCAACGGTCAAGCCGGTCGTGGCCCCATTTGTACGGCGCCCGTGTCGACCATCGGGTGGATCCCCCGCCAACCCTCCTCCCCTAAAAGACAGGGTCGGCTGACGGAGTGTGATGACTGCTCGACAAAGGACTGCGCGGTGACCTATTTTTGCCTAGGGCCTGCTCGAGGACCCATTGGCATGTAACCGATCCTCACGCCGTCGATTCGAAGACCATCTGGGACGAGCGTGCCCGGCCTCCATGTCGAACGCCGTGCCTCCGCACCAGGGCATTCGCAGACGGAGCTTGTAGTAAGGTCTGAGCCTCATCCGGAGCAGCTCTCCTTGGCGCTGGAGAGCAAGCTTGCCACCCGAGGCAGGACGGTCGTTATTCACCTGCAATTCGGGGCTGGATGGCCAGACTCCGAACACCACACTCCAAGCCTGTTACTGCTTTCCGAACAGGAGCCGAACAGCGACGACATCCACACCAGATGAAGTGCAGTCGAACGATTGAGATATGCCAGACGAGCACTGGCGCGCTGAAATACACGAAACCGCTTTGCTCTTGGAGGCTGTTGCGAGTGGCGACAGGTCTCGGGTGGTCAAACAATTGACAGACTACCTCTTGGCCAAGGACGAGCGAAAAGCACATGGCGACGAGACGGCCGACGAGCAGCAAGAACACTACGGGGACGAGGAAGAGCAAGAATACGGGGAGACCTATGGCGAAGATGGAGACCAATATGGCTATGAGAACGACGACTATCAGCAGCACGAGGCCTACGACGATGAGTACGGAGCTGAGGTCTACGTTGCAGCTGATGACGACTATCAAGGCGAGGCTTACATGTCTGGCGCGTACAATGAAGCTGATGAGGGCGACGATCTGTACGACAAGGAAGGCTACGACGAGGGATACGGCTACGACAACAACTACAACCAAACGCCATACGCGCCGCACGATTCATCGGCCGTTTCGGCCTACAAGAATGGAAGCATGGCGGGGATCGGCAATGAATACGATGACGGTTCCTACTACCAGGACGAAGGATATGATCCTGCTTACTACGAGCAGGAGGACATCGCCTATGAGGGACAAAATGACCTTGAATGGGATGGCGAAGACGGTCAATATCCAGGCCAAGGTGGTGCGATGTCTTATGGAGGAGGTGAGTGGTCTCAAGAGGCGGAATACGAACTACGCTCAGATGACCAAATACAGGTCGTCGATGAAGTCGACAATGACACAGCCGAGCAATGGCAGGCGGACGACATGTACCAGTACTTGGACGATAGCACCTATGGCGCGGAGGATCCCGGGTACGCTGAAGAGCAGGAGGCTCCGTTATATCGTGAGATTCAGGTGTATCCCGATCCGGATGACCCGTCGCCCGTATACGCTCATCTCCCAATCGAGCGACATCAATCTCACAGACAACAACAACCGTATCCGGATGATACGTCTTCCGGATATATTCCTCTCCCTATCGAGCGACATCAATCACAGAGATACCAGCCGTATCCCGATGATCAGTGGCTCTCCCATATTATTACGACCGAGCCACCGCCCGAATACTCTGAAGTACAGCACGAGGGGCCATCGAGGACACCTAGTGGAATGACAGCACTGCAAAGGGCCGGTCTCCAGGAAATCGAAAGCAGCAACGCGTCTGGGAACGACAACGGGGCATCCATGCAGCTACCCCCTGGATACGGAAATGGGTCTCACACTCAGTCTGTTGCCAGAAGGCTTACAGAAGATGAGGACGAAGATGCAGCGTGGGAAGATGAGCAGTGCCGGGACGACGACGATGTGGTATCTCCAGCCACACCTGGAGACGGGTACCTCCAGTTCAATCCTCTTAGCCACCTATACAGTGGGCCGCGGCTTGCCATGCCTGTGCCACCCATGAGAGGGAGCAGCTCTAGACGGAGCTGGGAGCAGTAGATGCATTTCGGCCTCCGACAGACTGATTAGCGCAACTTGATGACTATACTTTTCTCTCCAGCAGCACCGCTTCCTGCTCGATGACTGGCCAACGGGGTGTCCGATGACAGCCAGCCAAGCCGCTGCTTCGCGTCAAGAACTGGCGTGTTCAAGATAGCTTGACAGCATTCCTGGGAATGGAAGTCGCCGCCCCTTGGAACGGCAAGTTCACTCTGCCTCAGCCATGTATCTCTGTTTTCCTCCTACAGACTTCGTGCGATCGGGCGCGGTTCTGGTTGGCTCGTTGATATTACATGAGCAAGGGGGGTGAGCAGGGGTGTTTCTGAAAATACATGTAATGACCACGGCCCGGTCATCCAACTGCGGGCATCAGCCTCGGCGGCGATGATGACTACGACTGGATCCCTGAATAGCTTAGCACGCCACCCTTCATGCGAGGCGGCTAGCATCACCGGTGGCCCCAGGGGAAGAAGCTTATCGACTTGCTTAAAACAACTCTTCGTTCGGCCCCCTGTCACTCCTACTGAACATGACTAGAGCGTATACAGCTCTCCCTCGGTTCGGTGCCTCTATTCTTGGCGCCTCTCTGCACCAACCACGTCGGCAAAAGCAATACTCGCTGCCCAGCGAGCAGTGCTAGCTTAGTGGCCGGCTTCGTGCCGAGTACAGGATCCTTCGCTGCCGCCGCTGGTGTCGGAAGGACTGCAAGATGCGGTCGACCAGGCAGCCTGAGCCTCGCCCGGCAGAAATAGGAGCTTGCTGAGTGACCGACTAAATCAGGACAAGCCTGCATCATGCACCCTCACGAAGCGTTGTGCACCATAAGAGATGGAGACAATGCATTTGCTTATCCGACGGGCGTCCCACTGAAGAGCAAGACTGGATGCTGTAAATCTGTCACCACTTCCCGCTCGCTCGACAGCGATCCTTGTGCTTGTTGGCATCTCCGTTCTTCACTCACCTCGACGACATCCAACTCTGACAATGTCGTACTACTACAACGACCACAACAATTACCAATATGACGAATACGACCAGGTGGGGGACGGATATGACGCCAGCTACGACGACTCGTACTACTATGACGATTATTGGTATGACAACAGCTACTATGATGCATACTATGACGACGGTTACGGGGACATGAACGATGCTGGCTACATGGGCCACTACGACGGGCAATCATACCACTACGATGAAAGCAATGCTCACCAATATGACGGCGGATATGGAGGCGGGTATGGGCACCAGCACGACGGCGATGCAATGTACAGTGGCTACGATTCGCACTATCCAGCTGAGAGCAGCCAGGCCTGGTAAGGTGGGAGGGTCCGCTCAGAGTCCAAACACCTGGTTCTAATATCAAGCCTAGGCAGACGACCACAACTCAGGTGTCGAGGAGTGTCAGCTCCGCCCAACGTAGCCATCAATACCAACAGGCTGCTTTCGAAACGCCCGCGATAGCACCAGTTCCTGCACCGTCTTCCATGCAAGCACCCCCGGTACATATGGTTTCTCCCAACCCTCCAGTGCCGCCAGTCATGCCAGTGCTTCCAACTCCAGTACCGCCGGTCATGCCAGTCCTTCCAATCCCAACACCAGCAACCGTGCCTGCCTCACAACCCTTTCGACCAGTTACTCCATATCCAACGGGTCCGGAAGGCTCTTCGCGAGCGATGAACATCAACCGCGATCAGCAGCTTACCTTGCAGCCCACACCATCGCCTTCGGCGCCAACGAAACAGGCGGCGACACCCTCAGAATCGGTCTTCCACAATCTCTTCTGGAGGAGTCCTGTCCAAACTCGAGCTGGCAATGGTCCGACCACACCAATTAGGCGGCCGACTGCTCCAAAGCTCCCTCCAAGCCCGAGAATGAGACCCCCCGGGCTTACAGGTCCGGCGTTGGGGATGAGTGCCTCCCCGGCGCTTGGCTACGATGTGAGACAACCAGCAGGAATTGGATTTCTAGCTCCTTCTCCTCAAGCGTGACTTTTCGGAGGGGTTGGCTAGGGGCGGCGCTTGTGTATGGTATATAGTCCAGATGACGACATTGTCATAGATCAAAATCCTGTTGACAACAATATCAAAATGTGAAATTAATCCAAGTGCCTCGTCATATTTTGTGTGAAGTTCGAGACCGGTTTCTACCGCCACTCGCCAGCCACGGAGCACGGATCACTATTCAATACGAGGCCAGTCGTGGGTGGTCAAGAGGCAGGCGATTGACGCTGGGCACACATAGAGTTCGCTATAGGCCATGACAGGTGCTACAGGCGCGAGAGTGTGCCTGTGACCAAACAGCGACCCCGTCTGACAGAAGAGCGTCTGGTCAACCAGAGTCGACACCCCCGAAGCTCTCGGCGAGAAAGAGAAGCTCAGCCTCCACGCGTATGGGCCGCGCCAAGTGAAGAAGGTGAACATGCCCTCCATGGCACCCCGCCATGCTCGGAGACTGGCAATGCGGTTAGGCTCAAAAATGAACTGCCAGCGATGCTGTTCCCGGAAGTGGAGGACGTCTAGACATCCGAAAATAGGCACGCTGATTATACTCGAAGCAGTGAGGACAGCTCGTGTATTTTTGGTGGACCAAAGACACCGGTCGCAAACGCGGCCCCCCGACTCATGACCCCCTCCCTCCCCTTCCCCTCTTGTACTGTGCTGTGTACGGCCAAATCGATGGGCACCGCGTCGGATGCCCGATCTACCGCAAGGCCGGACTGGAAAGACTGTATAGCACTAGGTCACATTGACCGTGAGCCTACACGACTTGCGCCTCGCACGACTGAGAATCCGCAGCAAAGCTCGAATTGTCTCGTCTCTGTTATGTTTAATCACGCCCTGGCATGCTTTGTTCCTGCATCTTCTCTACGCACGTTCTCTTGCATTGCCAGTCACTCTTTACGAGGTTTCGACTTCACCACAGTCACTCATTAAATTCCGTCCGGGGAAAGACCCGTCGTTGACTCTTGCGTGCCTCATCTCGTTGGGTTTGCCCTCGCTTGGGGATCGCGATGCGATTCTCGCCCTTGTTGACGCTGCTCTCAGCGCTCGCAGCTCTGGCTTTAATGTTCATGGTGTTACTGGCGGGATACACCACGTCGACGCTTCCGACGTTGGACATGTTCACCGTGAGTGGAGTCTGCCGTGTGCCGGAATGCTTCTAGCTGACCAGGATCAGATCAACGCCGCCCAAATAGCAAATACAGAGTTCAACAACGGCACAGGCAACGGTGAGGTCCTCCCCCCTTGTCGCCACGCCGCCAAACAATCCGTGTCGCTGTCGCTCTTGTCGAGGAAGCCATCTTGCTGACACCGCTCCTGGGCGAGGATTAGGCTGTAATTGTGCCGAGATCGTGAACGGGACGCTCACCATCCACGGCACGGCCGTCATCAATGGCACGCTGTCCGTGGGCACGGCAAAGCTCGATGTCGCTCCATATTACTCGGTTTTTACCATCAACTACTGTCAGGGTGGCTATCTCCCCGACTATGCGGACCCAAGCGGATCAGCCGTGCTCACCCACTGCCAAAAGCCGTCACTGAGTCGGCATTACGACCTCGTCGACATCATTGAGGACTCTATGAAGCGGACCGGTGAAGCGCTGGGTGTGGACCTGTCGCTGGATGACCTGGACTGGCCGCAAGGAATCTCCAATGCCTTCACATATGTCAATTCGGCGGGTGCTGCGTTTATCGGCTTCTTGCTGGTGGGCCTGGCGTCTCTCATTCTGGCTACGTTGGCGGCGTTTTTGAGTCTCTTCCGGGCGACGAAGACCACGGCGAAATTCTTGTTTATTACTTCTGTGGTAAGGTGCCTCGCTACCGATTTAACATGCCATCTCCAATACTGACTGACGCCAGATTGCGCTGGTGGCACTGACTATTTGTTCCGTCATCGCCACTGCCATTGTGACGATCGTCGTGAATGGCATCAACGCCAACGGCGACGACATCGGCGTTTCGGCAGACCAAGGCAACTACTTTATGGCGATGATCTGGATTGCCGTCGCCCTGCTGTTCGTCTCGACCTTGACCACGACAGCCACGTTATGCATCGGGTCCAGTCGTCGGTCACACGCCCCTCTGCGACAGTACGAGGGATACGACATGCCGCCGATGGGCCGGAGAAAGCCGGTCCCCTACTACATCTATTCGCCCGACCCCCGAGACTGGGACCCGTATTCGTCACGGCGGACGCTCGTGAACGACGGGGAATATAATCAGTATGGAGACGAGTTTAGATGAAAGCAAAAAGAAACAACCTGTTTGGCGATGAGGAGGAGTATTCCTCAGGCGGGCCGACCAGCCTGCGACAGACCGTTCCACTAATGCAGCGTATGTACATAAATAACAAAATTCTACATTAATGACGTACTGGACATTTTCATTTGCGGCGCGTCTCGAAATTGAATGCGTGCAGACAAGACTCCTGTCGTCCTGCGACGAGGGCGAACAGCATTGGTTACATCAGTACCCTTGCTGATGACCCGGAGAGAAGAAGGCTGGCAACGGGCCGTGCATGGATGATGGGCTTGATTGTGCAACCGGGCGAGCTATAGTGGCATTGGCATTCTACCGGTCCGAGGCACGGTCACTGGGGGTCACGCAGAGGCACAATCGCAAATAATAGCGCTTGGAGAAGGCCGGAAGACGACGGTGAGGCGTGGCGCGACTCCATTACACCAGCTGCGGCGCCTTTCGACATAATGAGTGCCTACTGGGCTATAGTAGGCATACGAGTAGAGCATACACCCCACCTACATCCAGCCTTGGTAATTATCACCACCCTGCCTTGCGCGCTAGTTCGCAGCCTCGACGCGCGCAACAGCCCTCAGGCCGACGGCCTCGGCCACACATGGCTCTGGCGGTTGGCTACGAGAACTCCGACAAGCCGCCGGGGTCAGTTCACGGTGAGAAAATAGTCGTTTGCTTGGGCCTCGGACCCCGCGCCAAGGCTGACACCTCCCCGCTATGGCCCGCCTGATTGCCAATCACGCGCGCTGACGCCATCACGCCCTGTGCGATGGGACCTGCCCAGATTGCTCTGGGAGAGGGGACAGCCACCCTTGTTCGGCTAGCCAGGAACGAGGGGTCAAATCAGAAAAGAAGGCCCCTCCGGGAATGGACCCCGGAGGACGGAAGGTTCAAGCAACCACTAGCGCGGCGCTACCATCGAGTCTCGAACCAACGAATGCATCATGCATGTGCACGTTCTATCTCCGGCCTTGATCACTTCATGCATGCAAGCCACGAACAACGAACCCTCCTCGTACCTCCGACCGTGACAGCAATGCCACGAACCCTTCCCGACCAAGGATTGTGCTTACTTTGGGCTTCAAATTTTGGTCGCGCGTCTGTATTCCGGGGTCGGTAAGTACACCAGTACCTCGTAATTAGTTGTACCAGCTCTGCTCACAGCGGGGCCTGGCTTGGAGCCCTCGGCCAAGCTGAACTATTATGTCACCTGCCAACCGTAGCTGTCCAGCGACGGACGTGGCCACGAAGTGTGCTGCTGGAGGCCTCGTCCATGTTTGAGAGAGCGCCAAGATCTGACGTTCCATAAGGTCGAAGTGCAGGTTATCATCGGTCTCCCTTTGGAAGTGGGGTGGGTGTAAGACTGAGTGGTAGACCACGGGACAGGACGGGTGAGGACATTTATTCCCCTTATAGCAGAGTCGGTTTGCTCCGATGTGGCCGAGGTTGCTGATGTGCCATGTAAATATGTGGCATTGACGACACAGAACGTAGATAAGGCAAACATGAACGCAGAGGTAGAATGCAGTGTGTTGAACACAATCCCGGCGGTTTGATCCGTCATCACGCTCGACACATCATTCGGAGGATCAACCTCGCAGTACAGAGGTAGAAACCCTACTGCACAGTATGCTCGGCAGGGGCAGCCTGGTCCGGTAAAGTGCCGGGAGTGTTCCGAGTCATAGCGGCGAGATTATTTTTCGGCGCTTATTGGAGTAAGCCCTGAGTAGCGTTGGGTAATGGGCCCGCACTATAACGGTTAAGGTTGGGCCAATGGACGGTATGATTGTTGGCACTGTGGGGACGGTCGCCTCACAGCAGCAACCAACCTCTCACCTCAAACGTCCAACACTCAACATCAAAGCGCATCATGTTCTGGGATCAATCGCTCCAACTATTCTAAGCTGACTGCGCCCCTTGAACTCTCGATTCTCTGTTTGATGTTCAGTGGATATCGAATTCCGATCCCGATCGTGATTGACGTAGGTTCTGATTGTGTTCGAACATGCTGGGCTTATCACTCTTACTGAACGGTCCAGTCCGTCCTGCCCTTTTGACCCAAGAACGCTATCAATGAAGACGCGATTACGATTACCCCGCACCCTGTGCCCGTTGTGGTGGCTTACATGGCTCGTCCTCTGCCGCGCATACCGCCTCCTCTCATACCCATGGCGCCCCGTCCCATGGGAGCCCCTCGGCCTCCTCGAGCGCCCATTGCTCCGCCGCGTGCTCCGCCCATGGCTCCACCCATAGCTCCAGCCCCACTTGGGGCTTGTGGTCCCAGTCCGGCTGGATTCATGGCCACTATTGTCACGCGTTAGCAAAAGAACCCTCGTCGACCAAACCATGTCAATCGGCCCCAGAGCTGGAACGCAGCTTCCCGGAGACAAGGGCAACTTACTAGGTTCGGCATCCTTGAGCAATGACGATCGCTCGATGGTTTCGCCATTGGCTTGGAAAGATTGCGCGCCCGACGTTCCCGCCGTATCTTCGGGGTTGACCTTGACGCGGACGCTGCTGATCTCGACGTGTGTCTTCACGATGCCGATGAAGAAGCCGATCGTGGAGATCACGGCCAGCCAATGCAGCGCGAGCGCGGCGCTGCCTTTGGTGACCTGGAAGATGCCCGGCTGTTGCTTGTTGTGACTCGTCGCCAGCTGCACGGCGGCAAACATTTGAGAATTCGACACCGCGGCCGCGAAGCTGAAGACGATGCTGCCTCCAATCAGGACAAGCATGACCTGCCAGAAAGCCTTGGTTAGCTTTTGACCACATGGAGCGCAAGTGGGCGTGCGACTCAGCCCTGGCTAGTTTCCATTGCCACGAGACCTCGCTCGGGTTTGTCGAGACTTACTAGACGCAAGATGTCGAGTCGGCGGTTTCGTTGGGACTGTCTCCACGAAGACGCGGGGCCGACCCAGGGTTTGTTCAACGCGCCGTAAATGATATACATGACCACGCCAAGGGCGAGGAACATGCCGGGGATGGCGGGGAAGACGATAAAGACGTCGTTTTGTAGCGACGAGGCGACCTCGAACAGGACGCGGTTCAAAGTGGCGTTGGCGGGCAGCTGCTCAAACTCCTGCCTGTCGTCGTTGCCCGTGGACAGGAACCTGATGCTTGAATCGTGGTCCTTGCCGACCGTGATGGCACAGTGTTCGGGACCCTCGGAGAGCCTGCAGCACATGGCTGTGTAGCCGATGCGAAGCCGCGTCGTGGCAAACCCATCGACCGAGTTGAATTGTAAGAGATAGTACCCCGATGTCCCACTCCCAGCGCCTTGAGCACCCGGGACATCCCCGAGGATCACCAAGCCTGGACACGGCGGATCAACACCACAGACTTCCTTTCACCACCCAGGAAGGAAGACCACTTACTCTGAAACAGAATGGCCAGAGCTGCCAAGACGTATACAAAAAGCCGGAGCCAAACGCTGTCTACCCCCTCAAGCTGATCAGCGACTGCCCCGCTGACAGGTAATCAGATCAGTGTCCTCGAGAGCACACGTACCAGCTATATGCTTCTTCCAATACTGCGAAATGCCCGTGCCCATCCCTCCCATCCCCCCGGCCATGGCATTCATCTTGAGAGAGTGTGTGTGCTGTGTGAACGACTAAACAAGGCAAATGAAGGTGGCGGTTTGACAGCGGACTGGAAAACTCAAATGATTGACACAAAAGCAAGCTGGATTGTTGCTAACGAGTGAATTGCACGAGCAGAGAGAAAATGCGGGCAAGAATCTGCTTCCCATGTTTTATTCTGAGCCGCAAACATAGTGGACGGGCCGCCGGTACTTCAAGCCTGCCTGCTCGAGGGCTGAGCCAAGCCAATTATAGTAGCCGAGTCGCCGCAGACATGCGTGCTGGGCCTTCTGTGTGGAGAGGGACAAGTCCATTGTCGAGTGAGGATTATGATCGGCTTCTCTGGCGGCCGTCGAGCGAGCCTGTTCGGATGCTAATATTAGGATGGGACATGCTGCTCCATGGATACACGCCGTGGTAGAGTATAGCAGCGCTTGGCGACTCTTAACTTAAAGCGAGGCTGGCTGTTTTCACACCCTCCCCCCACGTCAGCCAAAATAACCAAGCTCAGTACTCCGTACATAGTATCTGACTGCTCGCCATTACCTCGGGGCGACGGCCCTACAATTCCGCACCTCGGAGGCCGTACAGTGACCGTACACGTATCCACCGTGTGTTCATTACTAACCTGGTCAGGTAGGGTTTCGAGATTACGCCGTTGGACTTTTTACGTAAGCGACCGCTAGGATGGAAACCGGCGTTGTCTGACATGAGTCGAAAATTACAGCCAATCGGTCTCGCACCTCCACCCTCTGGGGCCATCGATGCTCTCGCTGACGAATACATGCCGCTGTTACAAGGCACTCTGTACTAGCGAGATGGAGGATAATCATTTTCGTCATCTCCTCTATGCTTCTTCTGTGCTTCATCGGACATGGCGACCCTTGCATACACCCCAATCAGCAAGTCTCCACTACGAGAGACACGAAGTGAGCTCACCCGGGTCATTCACACCCAGCTGTCTGCCACGGTAGTGAGATTCTGGTTGGGCTGAATAAGGTAAACTTGATCATCCCTACAACTCGAGAAGAGTTGACATTTGTCCCATGGAGTCTCGACCGAAGTCAGGCCCTGATCTGACTCCACGGTGATTTCCGGTGGCAAGCTGCGACGAATGCTGACCCCTCCAGACACGCCGAGCTAAAGTTCCGAGTTCGTATGTTGATGCTATCTCGTAGCTGTGCTCCCGTATCGAGGCAAAACTCGTCTGGTTGGGACACGAGGAGCATAAGCTGATTTCCCACTAGATTCAGTGTGTAGCTGCTTACGAAGGGAACAAGGTCATTCGTGTCCATAGCAAAGATTGTCGTTGTTCACTGGGTATTTCAGCAGCAAAAATACATGCCCCTTACGGGGACCCAGAGGTCGAGAAGCTTCTCAACCGTAGTTGAGCTGGACCAAAATCCTCCAGAAGCGCGGGAAGGTCCAGGAGATTATATGGTCGTCTAGAGTACCGACGCAAAAGGCATCTTACTTTTTTTTTGTGACGGCGGCCGAGAATCAACGTAAGTCTGTGCTTGGCTGCTTGATCACAGCGCGCGCGGGGCATTTAGGGCTCCTAAGGTACGGGCTACGCCCACTCGAGAGAGTGCCTTGGGCTATGTGAATGGCTCACTACTGTAACGGCGTCGTCCGTCGCGCAGCAAGAGACTTTGTGCGTTCCCAGAACTCAAATGGTAGAATGGCTGGAAATGTACAGACATCAAAGCCCGACACATGCTGTCCTGTACTGGGTCGCTCTCTATCCATAGTAGCAGATCCCTTTTTCAGCAGGACCCGAACCCGTTACACAATGAAAAACCCGGCCCAGTACGCATCTGGAGGCAAGAGATTACATTCAATAGCATTCTTCCTCCTGCTGGCCATGGTGGTCACCATGGCCGCCATGCTCGCCCATACCATCATGATCGCCGTGGCCACCGTGGCCTCCGTGATGATCCCAGTCATGGTCATCGTGGTCTGCGACCCCGAGAGTCAGTATGCGTGGAATTTGTGAATGAATGGCCCTCAGTGGTGGGCACTGCCTTGTGAAAACGTACCCTCACCTGATCGGGAGTGTGAGTGATCGTGGTCATCTTCGCCATGCCCGCTCTCATCCCACGATCCATCATGTTCGTCGTCGTCATGACCTTCGTGGCCGTCCTTGTGGTGATGGTGGTGGTGGTCGCCAGACCCGTCGTCCTCGCCATCACAGTCTTCTGATCCGTCGTAGTTGCCTTCCTCGCCGTGCTCGCAGTCGTCACCGTCAGGGTTGAACATGTTCTCGACTGCGTCTACCACGTCATGTATGCCGCTGACGATGTGCTCGAAGCCGTGCCCGGCCTCCTCGGCAAGATGCTCGAAAACCATTCTGCAGGTGATGGATTGGCAAGTTTGGATGACTCTTGGTTTGGAGAAGGAGGGATAGCGTAGTAAGTTATCAAGGTCTCTAACTGACCTGGAAGGTGTGTGAGGGCAGGATGGCACTGTTTCTGGCTGCTTTGGTGTTCTGGATCTGTCTGCTCTTCCCCTTGGCCAGGTCCCACGAACCTAGCTCCTTATATGCCCGTGAAGCCATGACAACGGTCAGAAATAGAAGCTCGTCAGTTGCCATTGCCGATGGCTGAGCACAGCTGTCCAGTCGTCGACGGAACATTACGTCCAGCGAAAGCAGAGCCATGCGGCTGGGGCGGTCGGTAACAAGCTGCTCAGACGCCAGGCTTTGTTGCTAAACCGAAACTCCACAGAAGTATAACGGATTCACTGGAATAGCCATAAGCATCGCACTGCCCGAATACCCCCAATTTGGTCGGTTCGGTGCGCGAAGCCAAGGGTGAGTTTTGAGGTTAGCGCCAGAAAGATCAGCAAAAAGAGCCAGCAATGCCAGCACGTGTCGTCCTCCCACCGCCATGTCTGAACGGGGGCTAAACTGGGTATTGAAAAACGACACAGCCACCTCGATCCGTATATGCGAAGGGGCTGCCTCGTAGCGCCAGCTATAGCTACTCGCGTCGGCTACTGGGTATCACTATCCTCCTTGGAAAGAGACTGAAGTCCTTCTACAGCGCTAGCGGTGCGCTTACCCCAATGAGGAAACCGGCGCCTCTGGGCTAAAACCGTAATTTACAGGTATCTCTTGGTTTCTCCCGCTAACCGGAAGTGGGCAGCCTACCTTGTCCGCTCGGGTCCCCGCCATGCTATATGCGTACACGGCAGCACGTTTTCTTACAGCCCAGAGGCAAAGTGACCAATGCGGGTCGTGGGTACGCCGTTGCTTCAGATCTACTCGGTACAGAATCTCGTTCGCAAGTATTACAAGCTTTTGTGGACATTGGCTTGACCGCCTCCGCACTGGGAGGGTTGATGTCGGGTACAGCCTCCCAGCCAGGCCCCCTACCCCCGATAACCAGGAATAGCTCTAAGCTATATTGAACACAATATTTCAGGCAACACACCATCGAGTAGCCAGGATATCGTGTCCCTTGCGGCCACCGCGCACCGCCCGCCGACGCACTGCCAGAAATGGGATGCCGCAGGGAAGTGCCATGGGAAGAGTGCAAAAGTCCAGGATTTCCAGGATTCGTGAGCAGTCCGAACACGCGCACATTTGATAGGGCCACCAAGGTGTGGATAGATATCCAGGGATCTTCCCCAGCTGTTATAAACAAGTATGAGAGACCATCCAACATACTTGAAGACCTACCTTTCTTGAGCACTTTTGATCGGTCCATTTCATTCTTTTGCAGTCTATTCCATCTACCACGGCAGTATGGCAAGAAAAGGGGGCGGAAGAAAGGCCGGCGGCCATTCCAGTCCTGCGTCACATGACACGCCAGCAAAGACACACGATGCCCCAAAACCCCACGACAGCCCAAAGCCGGACAATGACACGAACCCAGCAAAACACATCCCTACACCGCCTAAAGCTCCGAAAAAACCAGGAGACGCCGGCCAGCAAGACACCACGCCCGGACCTGGACCAACGCCACCGAAGCACGATATCTTTGGGGGTGATCAACCTGGGCATCCCGGAGCTGGACCAGCGCCACCAACAAAGAAGAAGGACGATCTCTTTAAGGATGATGACTTCGGAGATGGGCCAACGCCACCAAAGAAGGACGATATCTTTGGGGACGATGGTTCGGGGCCTCCCATCGGTGGACCAGCGGGATCGAAGAAGAACGATATCTTTGGGGATGATAAACCTGCGCATCCCGGAGCTGGACCAGTGGGATCAAAGAAGGAGGACGACCCCTTTGGCGGCGGCATCTTCGCAGATGACAAACCGGCGCATCCCGGAGCTGGACCAGGGGGATCAAAGAAGGAGGACGATTCTTTCGAAGGGGGCATCTCCGCGGATGACAAACGTGCGCGTCCCTCAGATGACCACGGTATGGGCAGCACACGTCGCCCGGACGACTTTCCAAATGATGGACCACCTTCCCAGCAACGGCCGGGTTACAACCAGTACGACGACCAAGCAAATTTTCACCAACCGCCGAATGGCAATTACAACGATTATGGGAGCCAGCAACATCCGAGCCGCATGGGTCAACTTGGCATGGATGTGACGAGCACTTTGGCCAGCAGCGTCATCGATAACGGCATCAATCTAGGTTCGTATGCAATCCAGAACAAGATGGAGAGGGATTCGTATGCCGCGCAGAACCAGATGGAAATGGATAATTATGCCAAGCAGAACCAGATGGAAATGGATAATTATGCCAAGCAGAACCAGATGGATCTGGAACAAATGAAAGCCGTGCAAGAAGTCGAAAGGGCTCAGTACGCAACGGACCCGTCTGCTCAAGATGGCTCATACCCTGAAGAAGAAGGCCAGTACCCTGAAGAAGACGGCGTATATCCGGAAGAAGACGGCCTATATCCTGAAGAAGACGGCCTGTATCCTGAAGAAGAGGGTCCGTACCCTGGAGAAGAGGGAATATACCCTGAAGACGACACATACCCTCCAGAAGACGCTATGTACGACCCCCAAGGCAGTATGTATCCCCCGGAAGACGCTTTGTATGACTCCGAAATGGGCGCGTACCCCACCGGTGATGCCATGTACCAGGATGGGTCTTCTGGCCGGAACGACCAATTTTCCCGTGACGGACCAGCCGTATTTTAACTTCCAGGGTTTCTTTTGCTTTTCCTGGCGAGAGCGCCTTCGGACTGATCGGCAGGGCTAGCATATCGTTGAGCAAAGGCGTTGGGGTCTTGTGCGACACATCGTGGCATCTGAGTGCCGGGTTTCAAGGTGCTGCTCCAGGTGCCGCAGCGACATCATGGAGGGCCATAGAATTATGACGTACATCGGTACCGCAATTAGCGTAATCGCTAACAAAATTCGCGATGCTCGAGGAATGGGGCGATGAGTAATTTCCATTCCAGCTAAACGCCGGCGTACGACACGAGTTACCTGGTTTCAGCTGAGTGAATGGCTGCCAGTTGTCGTTAGGCTGTGAAGCTGACTTCAGCCAGAAGACTTCAAGCGATGCGTGTAAGTCAGAAAATAGGAATGATCTGAGCGGCAAACAAGCAAGATGCGAGGTAGCAAGGGTAGTAACAGGATCAGTTGGAGACAAGCGATGAGGCGCTTGTGATCTCTGTATCAAGATGCCTGTGATTTTGGCAGCGCTGTCCCGATCCAGCAGCCCCAGCAGCCGAGAGGCACCTCAACTATATTTCAGCTGGACGGCCCAGCAAGACACATGATGGTTTATCGAATCAAAGATGGGAATGATAGTGTGTCAAGGCCGTTCTCATTACCGGAGGCATTTCGACGTGCCCAAGAAGAGAGCACTCGCATTCTGACTGTTCATTTGAATGGGAATTGTGGATTTACAATTGCCTCTCTCCTGGAGAAGGGGGCGGGTGGCATTCCGGACAAGGATTTCGTTGCTAAGGACCGGCAGACTGGTGTCCCATATGTGCTGTTCGAGCGTGACACAGGGCAGGCATTCCTGAACAAGAAACGTGACTGGAGTGAGTCATAGCCCAAATCGCCCAACCACAGGTCGCTGACGGGCGATGATAGGTATGCTCCTCCACTGGGGCGAGAAATACCTGAAGAAAGTCTTGCCCGAAAGTCTTGCCCCTCGGCTCAGGGAGGTGGCAGTCGACCTCACGACGACTTGGAACAGAGCGAGGCATTTTCACACCTGGATGCCGATACGGGAGAGGTTGTACGCCACGTACAAATGCCGGTCATCACACGAGTCTCGGGGAAACGGCTACGGAAGTCCTTGACCCAGAACCAACAGCTGAACATACGGGTGGAATGAAAGATAGCTTGGCTTCGGAGAGGTTGCTGAGCGGCAGCCTCCAGGACAACAAGTGTCTCGAGCCATCTGGCCAGCTGTTGTTTCAAGTTCGAGGATGGCCCGCGTAGATGTGGCGCTGCATATTAGGCTATGACGCATCTAGATCTCGAGGGCGCAAGTATCCGAGATAGTCCCTGTCGATCGTGGGCTGGAATCCAGTCCCCTCCACTGGCACAATGGGGACGGCAGAATCACATTAGCTGGCGATGCGGCGCGTGCCATGCTTCCACCTAAGGCTCTCCCCATCCAGAGACCATCGAACCTGACATTGCCGTGTCGCTTCAGAAAAAAACAGGGGCTGAACAACGCAATGCGAGACGCTAGTGCGTTTGTCGTGGCACTGAGCGCGGTGTATCTTGGAGATATATGTCTGAAGGTAGCTATCAACACATACGAGGCTGCAATGATACCACGAGGGCCGATGGAAGCCGGTCTTTCGGCCGTCCTAGCTCATAATAGAGTCCATGCGCAATCTGAACCATGCGCAATCTGAAGATCATGGTGTACTGATGGGTCCGAAGGAGCCAGACTCCAAAGTTTGAGAAATTATTTGGACTAGGAGCCTTCCACTGGAAGAACCGAGACCGTCTCAGTCTCACTTCTCTTGAAAGAGTGCGACACCACCGCCATGGTGGGGCTCGTGGTAGGCATGGATGCTCTAGACGATGGTCATATTTCCAGACAGGTCGTAAATCATACGTTGATGTCCTGGCAATTGTGGCGTGTAGACCGCTTCCTACCGTCGGCTTAAGGAAGGTTCTGGGTTCTCGTGCTCGAGGTGCAACGCGAAAATCATCTCATCAACAGATATGCGGCCAATGAGGAGTGTCGGTCCTGCGACCAGTTGCTAGATTGCAGTTCCTGCACCCCATTCTCTTCATGACCTCGATACGTTATTGTGACCTCCAGCCGATCTGACTACGATCGCCTCCAAATGCAGCTGTCACATCTGTAGTCTTCAAGGGCTCTTTAAGGACACACGGGACTGTGCCAAGTGATCGGTATATCGATATTGGATGACGGCTGCACAATGTCTCAACACTGGAAGATGGATCTCCCTGGAGATCGGAAAACCCGAACATGGTAGAATGTCGGCGCATCGTGGCATCATGCGGCGGCGGGGGATTGTGGAGATTCTCCGGGTGAGCGCAAGAGTTCTCGGTAGATGATTGCATCGAATTGCCGCCCATGAGTTTGAAATGGGCAGAGCCCATGCCACTTGCACAGTGTCTTTTCACATACCCAAGTCGCTCTAACCACCATGGAGCAATTGCCAGGATTCGGGACCGCCATCGGCGAAGTCCTGCTGCCAACTTACAAGCTTTACACACCTTTACTGCTGAAGCAGGCGGATGCGATAAAGGCAACGAAGAGAGAGTCCTTCCCATACGGCAAACACCCACGTCAGCAGCTGGACCTGTATACTCCTGTCGATACCCCAGAATCACAGAATAAACTGGTCATTTTCCTCTACGGCGGTGGCCTTGTTAGAGGCGACAAGATTAATCCGAATTTCCCAGAGGCATTGGTTTATGCCAATCTCGGCCATTTCTTTGCAGAAAGATTGGGGTGCAAGGTCGTCATTCCCGACTATCGCTTAATCAGTCACGAGGCGAGATTTCCTTCGGGTGGCGAAGACCTCGAACTGGTCATCCAATTTATCCAGGAGAACGTACGACATGATTCGCGTGGGCCACTCAGTCTGCATATCATAGGGAACTCGGCCGGCGGGGTGCACCTGGCTAGTTATCTATTTGCGCCTCAGTTCGCAGCAAGCCGGCGAAGGATCTTAGGGCGAGACGCCGTTGATGTTAGATTGTCAGGCGTAACATTCCTTGCCGTCCCGTTTCATTTTGACCAGGCGGCTGCTGAGAGGGCAGAGACGCTCGCGGCATATTTTGGCAAAAAACGTGCAGCAGCACGCTCCGCTCGGCCTCTTAAGAGCCGCCAAGGCAGACGGCTCCATCAATGACCTGAAGGATGTCTTGGTCCAGGTGCTGACGGGGAGCCTCGACCCAGAGACTGAGGTTCTTGTGCCAAATGATGACTTTGTGAAGGAATGGCGAGGCGCGAAAGTTGTCAGCGACAACCTTTCGGAGGGAACGATGGAAGGTCATAACCACATTAGCCCTGTGCTGAGCCTGGGAACAGGCATTGGGGCTGAAGAGGCTTGGGCCGAGCAGGTGCTTGACTTCATCAACAAAGCAGTTCCCAGCCATTAATGGGGCGCATAACTCGGCCACGGAGATACGTAGCTGTCATCAAATGGAAAGATCTGGCCCATGAAATCGAGGCTGGTATCATGAAAGGGATCCAAGAGGGGCTCGTCTAGAGGACGTGGCCCATTCGCTTCAGCAGATATATTTGCCAGTTGCATGAGAGGAGTGTCAGCTAGTTTCGGAGCTTGTTGAGGTACTCCATTTCGATTAGGGCTGCCTTTGTGGTGAGCATGCTGGACCGCCTCCCGTAAGACGGCACCCGCCTTTCTGGCAACAACGTGATCCTCCATGGCATCCAGAACGCTGATACTCAGGTCGATATGCTTCTGCAAGTCCTGTCTCTCGTCCTTCCGGGCCAACCTGGATAAATAGCACAGAATAATGGACGCCCCGTATAAGGTGTAGGTGACGTTGTACCACCATGTGCGGAAATAGGGGAGCTCACAGTACATTTGATGCATCAATTGAATGGTGGCTCGTGCCGAGGAAACGCATTTGTCCACCGCTGTCTGAAGTATGGGGTCTGGTAGACCTTCTGTCGCGGCAGCATGCAGGAGAAAGGGTCGATAGAGCACCATCTTGACGTTAAGGTATCGGAATTTCAAGGTATGTTTCTGCTTTTTCGCCCATTTCGGTTCCTTGATCATTGTGTAGGATTGTTCACCATGAAAGGCCGGGCGTATGATGCTGGGCACGGACTCGAGCCAGGCGTCCATTTCGGTTTCGATCTCGGCAGCTATTGTCAGCCTCTCAGAGGTAGAGTGAGCAGAGGCGTATATTGAGACCGACACCTTCCGGACCAGGCGGGCGAAGGCAACCATTGCTGCAAGAATAGCATGTTCCGTCTCGTCCACAGCAGGCATGGTCTGGTTGTGGTAGATGTCTAGTCCGAGAGAGTCAGGGCGACCCAGGGCGAAGCTCATCTCGATCTCCAATGAATATAGACCCCACCAGGTTCTGGCAATGTCAGAATGTGCCTCGGGTCGTCCAGCCGTAGGACTCAGTCGTGGTCTTCGGTTGAAGCCTGCCGAGAGCGCGGTTCGTACTGCTCTGCCGAGATACAAGTAAGCCAGGTGAGGATTCAATTCGTTCTGGCACACCTTCGCCATAATGAGGCAAGCTTGGACAGTCTGCAGATCATTATGACTTGGTGTCAGTTCCAAAGCGGCAGATGCTAGATGGAACATCTTCCTAGCCCAATCAAATCGGCCCATCCCATCAAGAGTCTCTTCATCCCATTCTTGAATGATAGCACCGAGACTCATAATGGAGTAGTACAGAGCCACGAAGCCTGAAGGTGGACTTTCAGATCGGCCGAACCATAGATCTTCACACTTTGAGAAGAAGTCCTCTCGAGAAATGATCGGATGGATGAAATGCAGGTTCTGGAAATATCCATCTAGGAAGAACCACGATTGGCGAAAATGGTACCGGACCGCAGACGGCGACTGTATTTCTGTCGATCTACGCCGGGCGGCTTGCGGCGTAAATGACTCGTTGTGGAAGGCGGAAACCAAAGACTGTGGCTGTTCGTTCGTCTGAGCGCCGTCTTTATGCGCATGATGTTGAACAGCCGCAAGGAATGCCAGGGATGACGTTGGGCCGTGGAACTCGGTGTTCATGGTGTGAGGATTGATCTCGCTGACCTCTTCGTTTGCATGGTCGTGCGACGTGCAATCAAGATTTACGCCCTCATCGATTGTGTCGAGGGGGCTACTCGTGCTGGGTGCTTGCGTGCCGTCAAGCTCACGACGTGCAAGAGCGTGGAAGCGGTCCCGAGCGAGATACGCGTCCTTGTAGATGCACGCCCGATTCCGATTCCTGCACCTCGTACATGGAAGAAGTTCATCGCATCGATGCTTCTTGGCTCTGCAGAACTCGCACGCTCTTGCGGCACGGGGCCTCTTCCTCTTCGAGCCAGCCACAGGCGATGGTGGCACAGCCTGCGCGGCATCTGAAAAGGGTTCTTCGGATCCGGGTGGTTGCTGAGGAGACTGGAGTGGTTCTGATGGGCTTAGTAGTGCAGGCAGATATGCCAGACGCCCCTTCAACGGGTGGTCCACGTCTACATGACGGTCAGAAGACATGGCCCCGCCGGAGGCAGAGGTACGGAGTAGCGGATCGAAGCTTCAAAATGCGGGCAGGAATTTCCGAGTCGTTTTGCTGAGTCATGCAACACTTGCCAAGACGCTTCCCGAGTCATGCGCGATTCGGGTCTTTATTCCGGAACTTCCGCGTGTATTATTCCCAAGATTGCACGCGACGCGCTTTACGAGCCGGAACAAAATGTAGACTCTCTCTACGTATACGCATGATGCTGCGACGCCTTGTGATTTGTCATCCTAATCAACACCACGGTGGCAGGTCACGGAGGCACTGCATCGATAACCATGCGGCTTATCCGAGCATCTCTCCATCGTAGTCGAAGCAAGCAAGGTTGAGGGCACATAGCAACCGACGATGCTCCCAGGGCTTGAGCATGAGACCGTGTCAGCGCGAGAACGAAAGCCCCGATCTCGAACCACCATGGCAACGAGCATGCCGCTAGGAATACCGGAGAACCGGGAGAAGGCGTGTTTGGAGCTCTTTTGGGCAGAAGTAGGTGTTTCGGCGATTGTGAATTTCTAAACAACTAGCTGGGCCAGATAAGGGAGCAAGAGGAGGTCAACATCCTCGACAATAGCGAGGACCTGACGCCAAACACCTCTTCAAATGAAAGGACATTAGCTGAAGCTCAACCAGGCGCCGCGTCCGAACGCCGCTTGCGCCTGACCAAGCCATGCCCCTGTTTTCTTTTGAACTCCACGACCAATGACTGGTCAATACTTCCTTTTGGGTTCAAGAGTCGTACGTCGGTTTGCGACCCTTTCATCGAGACGTGATGGACAAGAGGTCGCCACAGACGCTCGGCGCTGGTGACCACAGCCCAAGGCAGGCTGGAACGGAGAATACTCATGGGGTTTCCGAGCCGTGAGGGCAGGTCTGCCTGCCACCAAAATTCCACGGATTATCGAACTTAGCAAGCAGGCCGAAGCCAAGGCGATCACATCACATCCTTTCGATGCCCATGCATGCGGCGCGCACAAGGTCAGCTGTCCTGCAGGCAGAAATTAGCGGCCATTGCTCCCCGTAGACACGTGCACGGTCGCTTGTGCTGCAGGGCAGTGTTTGTCCAGTGAGGCGCGGAGACCATCTGTACTAAATCTGCCTACACCCACCTCATTTGAGGCCGATTCGACAAACTGTTGCATCTATCCAAAGCGGTCCCCCCGAAGCAGGGTTGAGTATGTGACACATGAATGCTGATCATGAGTCAACAGCGGGTTCACAAAGACTAGCAACATTAACCACACCACAAGGGCGAAAAGGCATTCATACTGCGGGAACAAGACTCGTTGGAGGACGCAAAGGCTAGGAGGTTTTGCTTAGTATCGCTTCGTCAGCAAAGCTCGACGCCGAGATTTCTGTGAGGTTAGGAGAAACGATAGGAGAAACGATAGCATGTGGGCGATCGCGGAGAGGACATTAGCAGTCTCTCCACCATCAAGAACCACAGGCGCCGGAGCGGTTGTGAAGAAAGATCTTCCAGACATTCCATCAGCCGACGACCTTGCTGCCGTGCTTTCGAGTCGCGTGGCAACGGCACCACCGCTCGGTGCAGGAATGTTCGTCTGAAAGATTTCAACGACGTCCAGTAGGCGTTGTGAGGTAACAGGAATCCCATTCGCCTCCACGTTGTCGACAGAGCGCCATATGGGTTTCAGACGGCCTTCACTATCGTAAGGCTCGGCAACCCTCATCCGTTTGACCCAGTTATCCATCACTTTAAATGCGGTTGCATCGTCCAACCTCCAACCATTCCTTGTGTTGGATATGGCATTTTGGGTTGTGTTTGCACCGGATCTCCCTGCATCAGTGTGCGAGCAGTTCCGAACGCGTCAATCCTTCGACGAGTTGTGCGCAGGAAACCTCCTTGAGGTGGTGTTTCAGGATCGGTTAGTAGAGACAAGACCGATTCCGTCCTTCCAGGCGAGCTTCGAGGTTTTGGGAAACCCCTATCTTGAGCATCCCTGGACTTGAGGACCTGCCGTAGGGGTAAATATGTCTGCTACGGCATGACCGTTCGCTCGAGTGCCTTGGAGGACCTTTTGGGCGACTGTCCTTCCTGGGTTTCTCATAGGAAGGAAGTCCGGTCCAGGAGTATGTGCATCACCGTCTGGCAGGTGGAAGGCAGAATACCGACCAGGTTCGAGATCAAGTCCATGACCAGCCGACACCTCTGCTGGGACGACATCGAGTGTCTTCACGACCGTTGCATGTGACCCAGCGGCCACTGTCGCCACGACCGCGATCCCTTCTGGTGCGCCAAGTTTCAGCTGGTCTTGCCAGCGTCGTCGAACCTCCTCACCCAGCAGAGTGCCGGAATGAAGCTTTGTTTTATGCTGCTGACAGCAGGAACGCTCAAGAAAAGTCTTCCATCACCGACGAGCGCAAGTCTGAAGCCAGAGAGCCACTGGTCGCCGTACGAACCATGAGCAGATGCTTCTGCAGCTTTCTGGCTGCGGCAGGATGAAGCTGTACAGATCGAGAGCAATGGCGCTTGTGTTTGATCAGCCGGTAATCGCATGTAATGGTCGTCACGGATAAGTCGATTTCCTCAAGAGCTGGGAAGTTGTCTGCCTGCTTAATGTGAGCCTTACCGGTAGCTCCGCTCCGAAGCGCGTCACAGGTACTCCGTATTCTCACTCAAGACCCTCCCTTGGACGCCCATGATATAGGCGGGACACTTGGTCATGTGATCAAGCGACGAGTCCTTGCTGTCTGCGGGATTTGGAGACTTGCGTCCTGAGTTGGCAGCACTGCAATTGCCATGTTGAGCAACCACACATGGATGCGCCCGTCACTGGAGGTGGCTTCGGCGCACTTCACTCTGCCGGTTCTGGGAGCTTTGGTTGGTCGAATGAGGCTGTGCAAGCGTCGGCCATGGTTCGCAGGGCAGAACTCCGAGAGTTATTGGTATTGCGAGGAGGATAGAATGATTTGGTCTTTGACATGATAGTTCAAAATCACGCATTCCGACGCACCCAAAACCAGGATCTGCTGTCCAAGACATTCGTCACATAGAGCGTCTTACTCGGCCAGCGCCAGCCACGAGTGTACGAGTCGAGACCGTGAACAGGGATAGATGGCGACTTTTCTGATGCGACAGTTGCTTTCAAGGAGTAGCTGTTGCTCTTCGACGCAAACCCGAGGGCCGTCGAGGCCGTAGCAGTCCGGTCTGGCTGGTGGTCGACAGCAAAGTGTAACGCTGATCGTTCATGCTTCTGCGACTGCTGCCTGTCACAGGCGACGGTAACTGATTCATTCCGCGCTGGCTCCGCGCTGGCTGTAGACGCCCAGGGTCTGTCCCTAAACTACCCAGTCTCCCAGTAGCTGAGAAATCCGTCGCCGCGGCCGGAAAATCCTCCGGTGATGGCAACTCGGAGCGAAAGACAAGCATTCGCCCAACCAAACAAGCTCATGAGATCTCCTCAATCCCCATTTCCCAGGAATCGATCTTCACGCTCGTCTCACTTCCATTACATAATCTCAGATCTCCACCCTGATTCACCTCCTACATCACCAGTCACCATTCCACGTCATGTCTCCTCTCACGCGTAGTTGTGACGCCCGGCGACTTCATCTGCCGGAGAGTGCGCCGTTGATAGAGATGTCATGCTGTAACGGAACCTCTAGCTCTCAGGCTGAATGTGTTGCATAAATCCCGCTACAGTGCCACAGGTAAGGTCACAGTCCTCCAGAACCATTATTTGAGGCATATCTCTCCCACCATCACAGCAATTGATAGCTCATACCGTCTTTGCTCGGCATTGACTACACGTTTTTTCCCAAAATGAGCGACAGCAAGATTCCCAAACTATACCACCGTACGACGCCACACTGGCAGCAAGAACAACGCAACGCCTTCTGGGCTCTAAACGAAGGGAAATCCGCTCCCTTCAACACCCGACCCGACAAGCTCGAAGCCCTGGCCGAGGAGTCTCTTTCCATCAACGGCCGCTACTACGCTCAATCCAATGCCGGAAACAGCTGGACACATCTCGCCAATCGACAGGCTTTCTTCCGACATAGAATCATCCCCCATCAGTTAGTGGACGTGAACGAGCGAGACACGACCACCACGTTGTTTGGCCACAAGGTCTCGGCACCGATTGGATTCGCGCCTATTGGGATTAACAAGATCTACCACCCCAAGGGCGAGCTCCCCGTGGCCAAAGTGGCCGGGCAGCTTCGCCTGCCCTATGGGCTGAGTACTGCGAGTTCAAGCACAATTGAGGATGTCGCGGCGGCGAACGATGCCGGCCGACACCTACCCGAGGCCGTGAAAGTCGAGGGTGCAGACAATGATTCGTCTGTCCGTTTCTTCCAGCTGTACCTCCCACACGACGACGAACTCGCGGTTTCCCTGCTCAAGCGCGCCGTAGACAGTGGCTTTACGGCCTGCATCCTTACTACCGACACGTGGCAGCTCGGCTGGCGCCACGACGACATCGCGACATCGAACTACGCCTTTTACCGCGGCATCGGCGCCGACCTGGGCCTTGTCGACCCCGTGTTCCAGAAACGCCTGAAGGAGATGGGCATTGATCCGAAGAAGTCCCCCGAAGAAGCCGGTGCTGCGTGGATCGACAACGTGTGGCATGGAAGGGCGTTCAGTTGGGAGAAGATCCCCTGGGTGATGAAGACCTGGAAGGATTTGAGTGGTGGCAAGCCGTTCTGCATTAAAGGGTGAGTCGTGCCTGGCTTGGGCCCGTAGGGGTTCTGCATGTCCCTTTGACTGACGTCGTAGGATACAATCCGTGGCTGACGCACAACACTGCGTCGATCTCGGTGTGGACGGCATCGTCGTCTCCAACCATGCCGGCCGTCAGGTCGACGGCGCAATCGCCAGTTTGGACGCACTTGAGAACATCATCGATGCCGGCATTGGGGAGAAGACCACCGTCATGTTTGACTCCGGTGTAAGGGGTGCATCCGACGTGATCAAGGCATTGTGCATTGGTGCAAAATTCGTCTGGGTCGGTCGTTTGTATGTGTATGGGCTTGCCTGCATGGGCGAGGAAGGCGTGCGCCATGTCTTCAAAAGTCTGCTGGCCGAGTTCGACATCTCCATGCTCACAGCTGGGTTCAGGAACATAGACGAGATGCGGAAGGACAGGCTCGAAAGTTACCCCAAGAGTTACACTCTGATTTCCGAGAAGGCGAAACTGTGAGAATGCAAACGGATGCAGCCACATTTTGCGAGTAGCTGCGAGATATGTAGACCAGAGCAAAGACGGACAGATAGCATTAAGTGGAATAAGTTGCTAATAATGCCTTTCTGCAGGCAAATTACACCAAATACCCGGACCGGATTGGTTGTCGAGCCTGTCCCCACTCGAGGTGCAGGAGATCAGTGACGCCTGAGGCAAACTGCAGCAGCTGCTGCTCTCGGGCATCAGCAGGAACTCAGAGAGAGCCTATGACGAGCAAAGCTGGGTTGGCACTTGTTTGACATACCGCCCCTCGGATGATGGTTTGGCCCGCTCCAGCCTGTCAGAGTCCGCCAACATGCGGTGACAAACTACAAATCACTTGGGGTGCTTGTCCACAGCCTGAACACTGACAGTTGCGGGATGGGTTGCTCTACGATCGGGAAATCCTCTTGACATAAGCGAAGCGGACACGGCCTTTCTTGATTTCTTTTGACATTTGACTTCAGGAGGTCCGTTCTTCCTTGGGCTTGATACTCTGTCAGCCGCTCGACATGGCTCGCCCCTGCAGCTACCGAGCGCTGATCTCGAGTCATCCACTACATAAAAGCACGGCCAACCCACCTAATATGAACATGTCCCCCGCCACTATCTTCCATCTGGTGCGTTTTCGTCCTTCGCTTCGGAGGCAACCCCTGAAGAGTGCGGACTAAGGTTGCAGGCCGACACGAGGACAAAGCTGAGGAGGTCGGTCCACCTGAGGAGGTCTCGAGCAGAAAGAGTTGCGTTGTGAAGGTCGCCGGACACATTAGAAAGGATTGGGGTTTCGAGGTCGTCGTGTACAAGCTCGAGGTCAGGTCGTCATCATTCGTGAAAAAAAGCTCGCGCTCCGGGCGAGAGGTAAGGTATCATAGCTTCGTCAATGTTCGCTTTGCGCAAGACACCATCTATCGGACGCCAAGAAAGAAGAAAACAATGCCATATGCTTTTCGCGGAACTGTCATTCGTCAAGGTTGGGGGCAGACACTGGTGGACGGAAGGGGTTAGGGAGCGTGTCGAAGAGTAGTCGAATGTGAGGTGGTCGCGGGGCGGAACTTCACTCGGAGGAGACCTGCTGTCGACGTCCCTTTTCGGCCTCAAGATTCTCGTAGAGAAGATACAAGGCTCGTTCGTTGGCGCTGGCGCTCCCCATGATGGTGAACATTCTCTCGCCGGTGTCGTCGTGAGGAGCTTTGGCGATTGAGATGCGAGCGCCGGAGCTCTTGCGAATCTCGCTAATCTTGGAACCACCTCTTCCAATGATGCAGCCGACCATATCGGCGGGAATACTGATGTTCTGAGTCTGGACTTCTTCGCCGTCCTCAGTAACCACAGGAATACCACCTGCACGTGGCATGTCGTTGTTGCGGTTGTAGGTGCGTGTTTCACTAAAATCTGCACCGTTACCGGTACGGTTGTAGGATCGACCGCCGCCGCCGCCGCCACCCCCACCATAGCTGCTAGCTGGAATTCCAGCAGTGGCGACTGCAGGAGGGAGAGGACCAGAACCGACCTGAACGCGGACAGCAGGGTTGTAGAGCACGGTACCAGTGCCACGCTGCCAGTCGTCGACCAAGCATTTTCCGATTTCCCACACGGCTTTGTCAATGCTCTCGGGTGTACCTTGAACTTCGACAATGCGCTCGGTGGATTGCGGGAGCATCTCCTTCTGGGCTACCATGCGAACTCCAGACACATCCTGGATGTGCTTGATCTTGAGTCCTTGGCGGCCGATGATAGTGCCCATCTGGTTGTGGGAGATCAAAAGCCGAATGGCTACATCGAATTAGTATGATTCGAGATTGTGTCTCCGAACATGCTTACGATGAGTGCCGTTGTTTTGAACCACGCCGCCCATGCCCATCTGAGGTGCGCCCTCGAGCAGACCCTTGGCCACGAGTGAATATGCCTTCGAGATGCCGGACAGGGGACCAGTAACGGTCAAGACACGATCGTGAACACCTTGAACGACCTTGCTAACTCCCGCCTTGACTCCTGTCTCTTCGCGAAGGTCGGCAACGTTTTTCCCAGCTTTGCCGATGATGACACCTGCTTCCTTGGTTGAGACGATAGCACGGAGAGTCAGTATGGATTGCGCATATTCCTCTTCGGTCTTCGGGCCGTCGTTCTGAGGATCGCCGACATTGAGCTGGTTCAGAGACTCGCTAAGACCCTGGTCGTCAATGTGGTTCGCAGCAGACGGAGACTCTGTGGACGCCATTTTGAGAAGCGTCGGAACGTAGCCGGTTCAATGGCGGACGTGGGGCGAAGGTGATCGGCGCGGATGTGAGAGCAAGGTGAACCCGAGCAGATAGAGGCGTCAGTCCAGTCTGACCGCCGAGTGAGGGGATGGGGAAGACGAAGGCGATGCAGGAAAGATGGAAGAGGAGGGGAACGCGACGGTGCGAGTAGAGGAGAATGGATGAGGGTCGAGGGGAGGACGAGGGGTGAGGTTAAAATGTGAGGATCAGGGTGGTTCGAATGTTGTTGAGGTGCAGCAGTTTGGGAAACAAACGAAATTGAAAATGCGTTTGAATCACGGGCACAGCATAAAAACTCTCCGGCAGTCAACGTGGCTGGCAGGGCATGCGCGATCGCATGTAGTGAGTGAGAGTGGGGGAGCATCATAGGCCACCGGCCATAACAGCCTCCGCCTCTTCGGCGTCGGGGCATTATCCGATGCTCACTGGCTGATGCTCTCTTGGAGCTTCATAGCTTTTCGCGCTCTGGGTGATCATTCATCGCGTAGCTCAGAGCAATTCGAGCATCGCCGAATGAGGTCAGCTTACTCCGTACTTTAACATAGCATTCGCAAACAACGATGTAATTAGCGCAGAGCTTTTTGGCTCATTGCGTCTGATTCCTTGGCTGCGCTGTATCTGGTTGTCAGGATTGTCTCTGGGCTTGTGCAGCCAGAGTACAGAGCACAATACCCTGAGTCCTCCGGCGCGTTGGATCAAAATGTGTGGCTGGATCTAAACCATTTCAAGCTATCGGTTTGTATGCAGGCTCGATGTCAATTCATGCTGTACCTGGACTCTGACCTGTTCCAGCAGGGGAACCTGGAGCCTCGAAAATTGAGATCTTGTCTGCAGAACGCCACAGCTATGGGCACATCATTTAGTAGCTGAGTAGATCTCACAGACCTTGATGCTGGAACAGGGAATGCACCGCCGACCTCTCATTCGTCTGCCTCGACTACCAACTCTGGTAGGGAGTGCTCTCATATTGTTGGACTCATCGTACCCCTATTCTCATCGTACCGTTTGACAGCCTCCGACAAGACCACAGCCGATCAGCAACACCACACTTTGGTCGATGACCTCGGTGTCAAACCCTCGGAGCGAAACTGCACCGGCGCATTAAGCCATGGGAGAGAAATCGGCCATCAGGACCAGTTTATTCTCCTCAATATTGGCCGGAGCCGTGACAATGGTGCCATCCACGAGCGGAAACCGACAATATTGCGCTTGGCCGCCATCGAGAATCACAGTTCCGAACAGTTTGCACTTCTCACGATGTGTTGACCACCCTAGTTTGCAATAGAAGCACTCCCACGACCGGTTCTAGGGGCGTCAACATCTTCTCGCCTTACTGTGTGGATCTGCTTGCAGCTTGCATCTAACGACCACTGCCCTTATTGTGCACGTGAAATCGTGCCTTTCGTTACTCTGCCTTTGTAGGTTTCCACCTGTCTGTGGTATGGCATGCCACTAGGAAGGTGTCTGAGCCAGACGAGCTGGGACTACTTCCAGCGAGCAAATGACTCACACAAGCAGGGAGCCTGAAGCCTTTGATCTCATGCGGCCGCATGCCTAACGTAAGGTTACGTGCAATGTGTCATTGTGTACTTTGTGACCGCAATCCCTAGCCTCGAGGGTACGTTGGCCATTTTAGGGGAGGTTCCTGAGGTGGCCTGATGTTAGTAGTGCGATGTACACGCTGGTTGGGAAATCCAGGGGACTTCAGTTTGCTCATCGAAAGATCATGACAAGCTCGAAAATCGAACGAAAGTTTGGGAATGCTGTACTGCTGGCAAAGTTTCAGGGCTAATCTGCCCTCGGACGCACAGAATTGATTCCAAACGCCGCCGAGACAATGCCATTTTGCTCCCGGTGGCATTTACTTAGCGGCTTGAGCCCTCTATTTCGACCGGCAATACACACAGATAAAGAGCAGCCGGCAGAAAACCCGATCATGACGGCGTCTCTCGGATGGCTACGATTGCTCCTCTTGAGTTTGAGTATCTGCCCACATTGTTGAATGGGGTTGGTGTACCGAGTCTAGACGCCCGCTCGAATGCTGCCATGTCTTCGATCCCATGACATCCAGACATAGATGGGACGCCAGTGCAAAGGGAGAAATGTGAAACCTCGAAGAACTCCGCCCATGGTAGAGACTGAATTGTGCTGCGGGTCTCCCACCTTGATGCTCTACTCAAGTCACCACACAAAGCAATTCACTCTCGAGAATCATCTTGCCCTCTTTATACTTCTCCGCGGGCTCATAAGCCTTGTCATACTTCCAGCCGACTGTCTCTTCACATTGTTTGCACTTGATATCTCTGACAATGTGCCGGCCGGTGGTCATATTTCGCTCCATCGCTTCACCCTGTTTGATGTTCACTACCGTGGAGAAGAGGAAGGCTTTGCCATGTTGGCCACGGAAATTACGTGAAATGATGTCGTCGAAGTCGGCAAGATGTGTTTTGCAGTTCTAGTGCGATCGAATGGTTAGCAGGCTAGCCGAATTGCATATGGAGGGCGTTCAGCAGCAGCGAGAACGTCTCTAGGCTGGTGCTGTACCTTGCAGCCGAAGATTTTGGCCGAGTTTAGGTAGACGTTGTATGCTAGGCCCATCCTGACACGAGAGCCTTCCGCTCACAGATCCAAGCACGTTGATGGCAACGCACAGCACTTCAGGGCCCTGCTTACGGACAGGCCGCAGTGTCCTGGTTGCTGTGGGGGTGCAGACTCGCTTTCTGTTGGGACACTTGTCCAGGCTACTACTCTTGACTCAAATTTACCTGATCTTCCACAACAGCTGGACCGGTCTGTGTGCGCGTCGCCTCTCGGAGGGTTGTAGGAAGCCACACAGAGAGTTGTGGGATAGACACCAGAGCCGCGGTGATGGGCAAGGTTGCAGAGGTTGAACGGCTCGTGACAATGTCAGGACGACGTTGAACCCTTCGTGTGACCGGAAAGTGAAACTTCCAAGTCAGGCGGCAGCTTGGTTCCACAGGAGGTGCGTGCTCAGAGAAGAGAGACGCGGATGTTCGGTAGGACTCGTGAAGGGAATAATCTAGGGGAGTTGCATAACTGTGATGGTCAACGGTGCAATACCTGAGGTCGTGGATGGTCCATACTCCGTACCCTTGGACCGCCAGTACCCCAAACCCCACCATCGTACACTACGTTGCAGCCTGAAGGATCGACGGTCGGCCACGCTGCACAAAGGGCGATGCCCGTGAATCGAAGGCAGAAAACATTGGGCCAGTCATTCGAATTTCCATCGTTGTCTCCGAACACATGATCGTAGAAAAGGCGTCTAGCGACTCATGTTTTAAACAAATGCAGCCAATGCAGCCGATACATACACTTGACAGAATCTCCTAACTAGGCTTGAGGGTTCCGGAGATTGATACCGGCTGACTTTTGGGTAAATGCCCGCATATTCCGTTCGACTGATGGCGAAGATGGTATTACTAGTTATCTCGGAGGATACGCAGCAGGAACGGAGCGTTCCCGGAACAGCAATGACAGATGTCTGAACGTGAGACCACGACTGATGAGGTCCAGTCAAGGGACAACTCGTGCCGGCAGTCAAGGCAAACGACAGATGTCGACCGCGGGTTTGGCAGAGATCCAGCTGCCACCACCAGTCAATGCATTGGCTCTTGGGCCGCTTTGAGAGTGATGATAATGGTATGTCGCAATCGTAGATAGACCTTTGGCAACGTTGTGCTGTCGCCGCCTAGATGGCTTCCATGACACGTCCTCGATCTCATGATATCAACTGCAGAGGGAACCTGACCTGCCTCGCCTTTCGTGTCCGCGACGACTCTAGCCGGCTGAAAGCCCCTCCTTCTCACGTTTGACTCGATTTGTGGACCTGCTGGATCCATCGACGTGTTTGGGGTTAACTGTGTGGCCACGGTCTTCGCAACCTTCAGAGCACTCAAGGAGGCAGCCTCTTCCGTAGCCGTAGTCCACTCAGCGTTGTCCTAGCATGGCCTTGTACGAATACCAGAAATCACAGCAGTCCCTGTGGCCCCAATGTTCAACCCAGAATTCGCCGAAAAGGTCCTCGACGTCGGTATCAACTTCACTCAATCTCTCAGTCCTCTTCAGGCCGCATAGTGCGCATTGTTTAGAGGAATCAGAGCTATTCGGGTGTTTCCCAGCCTTCAAGGGGATCCGGGGATAAAGCCTCATACGAGATGGCGGCAGACCGGCTCGTGAAATAATGCCGTTAAACTCATGAATGTAGTTGGACCAGTCTTGAATCATATCTTCCACTTCTCTTTCTTCTTTGCTGGTTTCGCTCTTGTTCACCGCCACCAACTTCATGCCGCCACTTTTGCCAGCTTGTCCAATCCGCACACTTTGTGCCAGAAGTGAGTCTCTCTTCCACCGCAACGTCCTCCCTGCGATTATTCGACTTGCAGTCCTGAACGCAAGCAGCACCTGCGATGCCAGGTCTGATTTTGTCGTATGAGTATCAGCGTTGCCCCTGCGAATGGATTGGAAGACCGCTGAAAGTAGCTGCAGAAGCGACGATGGCGGTGGTACGTTGCTCGGTCTGTCAAGCACGGTCAGAGAACGAGGATGCCCTGGAGTGGCTCGTACAGGTTCACTGGGCAAAGACCCAGGTAGCTTGGGGGCACCAGTGGCATAACTTCCATCAGAGCGTGGCTCCTCGTCGAATGGCTCCCATTCCTCGTCTGCCGAGTCGGCGGCCATCTCTTCCTTCACAGTCTGGGATTTTCGTCGCGATCCAAAAGCCAGATTATCCACTGCAGGCGTGTCCTGTGACACTGTCTGTTCGAAGTCTCCCCAAGCATCATTCACCGTAGCATTAGCGTTCTCAGTACTGCGGCGTGGGATTGCAGAGTGTCTGTGAAAGGCAGACTCTGGCCAGGACACCTTGTCAGCCGCACCGGCTGCTTCCGGAATGCCATCATTCATATCCAGAAGATCAGGGACAAGACGCGAGACTGATGTTACAGTTCTAGGATGCGCCGATTGAGATGCATCCAGGCCACTTGTGAGATCTGCCTCATCAATTGACGGCTTTGCTACGGTTTCAAAATCACCAAAGTCGTCGTCGAGGGCGGCCTCATCTGCGTCGAAGAGGATGTCGGCGCCATCATTGCTTCGATTCAATAGTAGAGAAGGGTCAGTCGGCTGCTGCGTCCGCTTTATGGTACTCTTTATAGGAGTTGACGGGCTGCAATGGACATGTTCCTCCCTAGGAGACATCTTATGCTGAGTGAGGGATTCAAGCGGGGCTTCCGGCGTTACTCTCTCTGCCAAAAAGGCAGCGAACAGGTCGGCGGACATGATCCTCTGAATTGCATAACTGCCTATACCGTGATCGAGACACCGACGGTTATGCAGCTGTTTGCTATAGATTGTAAACGTCAGGTTAGGTGCTGGGGTGACGTGGTGGGCGCGTGGGGTTAGATACGGTGGACACGAACAACTCGACTCGCCAAGCATCGCTCCGTTCAGTCACCTTCAACATCAGGACTCTTTAACAATCTCGAGGTTTCTCCTTTGCCGGTGCTGACGAACAATGCGCAACTTCACGGACATACAGTAATGGAAACCCGTTTCACTCAACACCATGTCGGCTAATGGATCTAGGCGACGCTGGGCTACGCTCTTCAGTTCATCGATCGGAGTTGACTTACGACAAGCCTTGAGAAGCGGTGAAGGCTTTGATCCTTGCGAAGATGGACTGCGATCGGTTTGCTGGAAGGTGTGTGGTTGAGCCAGGCTCCCAAAAGTGCTGACTCTCCAGCTCAACCACCTCAGGCATTCCTTCTTTATGGACCTCTCAGCCAAGGCTCGTGGCCCAAGAAACTTGCAGAATCTCGATCCGCCTATGTTTCGCTACGAGACCACTTTCTTCGCTACATAGAACATCCGGCCGAGCTCCATTCCTCTGGTGACCCGTTGGCGGACGATGACGAGAACGTATGTGATTACATGTCCCACAATCGTTTCTCATGTCCTGACCTCTGACAAAAGTGAAGTCTCCCTGGTCAACTCTACGGCAGGACGAGATGAGCAGAGAAGAAATATTCAAAGATGTCACACGATGCATGCAAGATAACTTCTTCTTTCGCGAGCCTGCGACGCAGAAGAAACTGCTGGACATACTCTTCATCTACGCCAAACTTAATCCCGATATAGGGTATCGACAGGGAATGCACGAACTGCTGGCGCCTATCCTTTGGGTTGTCCACCAAGACGCTGTCGACTTAATTTCGGTCCCGGCAGTAGACAGGAAGGCAGAAGGCACTGATTTCATGATAGAGGTGCTGAACGAGAGGTTTGTCGAGCATGACGCTTTCAACCTCTTCTGCGCGGTGATGCAGACGGCGAAGGCGTTCTACGAACTTGGGGAGAACCGGGATTCCTCCCCTATTGTTGCAAGAAGCATGCGAATCCATGATGAAATCCTCAGCGCGGTTGATCCAGAACTAGCCGTCCATTTGACCGTTGTGGGCATTCTCCCCCAGATTTATTCTATGTGAGTTAATTTCAATCAGAAGCCCTAGCGACTATTTCTGACATATTGCAGTCGCTGGATACGATTACTCTTTGGGCGGGAGTTTGAATTCAAGGACGTGCTGAAGGTCTGGGATGTCCTCTTTGCAGAACACCTAAGGTCCGATATCGTGGACTTCACCTGCGTGGCGATGCTCCTGAGGAACCGCTGGAACTTGATCGAAGCAGACTACACTACCGGCATCACTGCACTGACTCATTATAGCCTTCCAGACCCTACGGAGGATCCACGGTCGCTTGTACGGGATGCGGTTTTCCTCGACAGGAACCGAGATAGCGAGGCGGGCGCACTCCTGATTCAGCGATATTCTGGCAGGCGTCCGAAAGGGAGCGAGGCCCTACCGAATCGTAGTACACCCGCCGCCACAAGAGCAGCCATAGCTCCCCGGCATCGGCCGTCCCCAAGCGCCTCACCAGGCAGGTTTTCATCCCAACAAAGACAGTTGGAAGGCCTATTCCGGGAGGTCACTGGCAATCTGCAGAAGCGCACTGAGGGCTGGGACGTATCAAAAGCTGTTCGGAGCGCGGTGGGCGAGGTTCGACGCAACGTGAACAATTATCAGTCGGCACACTCAAGGCAACCTAGCAGCGATGGTCCTCAGCTGGTCGTGCCAGAGAGGAAAAGACTAGAGCAGAAGGCACAGGAGGATGCGACGCGGGATTTGCAACAAAAGCTTCAAAGGCTGCAAGAGCGCAACACCGTACTGGCAAAGATGCTGGACGATGCTTTGCAGTCTCTCAGGGCAATCAAGCTGGCGAATCCGACGGCTGCAGGCGATGCCCAAGACAACATGAACATCTGCCTGGCGAAGATCCAATTTGTATCCGTGTATCTATCCGATTCAGACATTCCGATCCCGAACGAGGAGACAGCTCAAGCTCCTCAGCCACCAAGGGAGAACCCCGACTCATCTGAGAAGCAATCAGCAGCACCCATCCAGACGAAACCAGATACCAAGGATGAGAAGCACTCCGAAACGGGTATCCAAACTCAGGAGGCTGAACAGCGAGGCAGAGAGACCCACGTGACAATTCAGCGGCCGTCGTTGATGGAATCATCATTTTCCTTCATGCTCGGAGAGAACCGGCATCGTTCAAGCTTCGTCAGTTCTGTGTCAGACTTGCCAGAGAACAGCAGGGAAAGCGAGTCAAGAAGCAGACCCAGAAAGAAGGTAGCTGAAATCATCCCTCATCCGGAGCGCAAAGGTTCGGATAGCGACAAGGAGGGCGTCAGCTTGAATAAGATCCAAGGTGAACAGGGCTCAAGGGACGAGGCCTGATCCATGATGTGATTCTGCTGTGTAACTTGAGCGATTCCCCGCAAGTCGGTATTCCAGGACCGAATCTAGGCAGGGTTGCGTATTATTCATAGTGGCGGGGATTCTGAGTGTGTTGCTAGATACTCCTTTCATGAAGTATTCTGGACTCTTTCAAGCATACGGCTGGTATCAACCGACACACACACCAATCGTCGTCAAGCAGCATTGTTCCCGGCCTCATGCCTAACCACCACAAGTAACTCCTCCACAGAGCTTTCATCCGGTGGCTCATTTATTGCAACGGTGGTCCTTGCTCCAGGCATGATTCTGATCCATCCGTCACGAGCATAGGCCGACTCGGAGCCGGAGTCTCTGACCTGAAGTCTCGAGCAATACTCACAGTCATCGATGCTGAAGATGGATCTTTGCGTGTTGAAAGCTATCTGCATGAGATAGCGGACATTACCATTCGCTCCGATCGACCATGGCAAGCAACCCGCCTTTCTCGGATAGGCGAGGTGAGCGGTTCAAACGACCGAATTGTCAGAGTTGGAAAATCGATCTCGCTAGACTGGTCGTGATGTATTCGGTGTTGAAGAGTACGAGGATTCAGTACGCTGAGATCTGAACAAGGGTGGATCCCAGGCGGATCTTCTAGATCGTTGCGCCTAAAGTAGTTTGGCGGTAGAGCATTGCGCCTCACTAGCCAATGTCGCAAGCCTAACAGGCACATGTAGCGTACTTAGGTAGGCCTAGGCCAATCGCCACGAGCTGCTTCACGCAAACAGCCCACTCACAGGCAGTCGTAGGTAGCTTAGACACGAGTGACTTCCTTTGCACGTTCCACGACCTCTCCCGCTCCGCCGCCGCTTGGACGATTGCCGATGACTTATTGATCGACGATTCTTGCTTCCTCCCTGGGATAATCAACCTCACCTTCGACGGCCGAACATTCTCTGCACGTTGCTGCTGTTCCTTACCTCCGGATTTAGTTGCTCTACCAAACACTTCAACCCACATTACTTTCGGAACCACTTGCTGTAGATCTTTCAGCTGTTCTTCGAGTCTACTCTCGTCTTTGTTCGATTTTATACGAATTACGCGAACGATGTGTTTCTTGTGTCTAGGGTGGTGACATCGGCACTGTAGAGGCCGGAAGGGCGGCACTACGAAAGATATTGAGCGAGCTGGAGTCCAGCATGACTCGCAATGGCCTGCAGATTCATGGTAGGTCGCTAATCCGCAGACCGTGGCGACGAGGACCTCCTGCTCCTGGATTACAGTAAGATGGAGTATGCACTGACCCGTGGTGGCGCAGGAGATACCACTCCACCGCTCTCACCTCTTCTCACCGTGCCCTCACCAAGCCTGTCCGCAGACCAGACAATACGAATACCCAAGAACAAGAGCACTGGGAACCTGGCACAACCCGCCAAACACGATGGGTCGCCGCTATCACAAAGAACAAGATTCTCCTTCGACGCGGGAACGGCCCAAGAGATGAGCAATTTGAAAAGGTGGGTTTGACACATGCTACTGGTTTTCGTACCTGCTTCTGAGTACCTGGTTTTGACACGGCTATAGGGCTGCTCGCATCGACCATGATGGACTGGGAAGATCCGGCCTTCGAAGGATTAGGCGGCAGGGACCTCCATTACGGACGCCTACACTGATACTGGAAGGCGGGGAATTCGTTGCCCCTTCACTTTATCATTCAAAGACCATGCCAATATCTGGCTCATCCAGCAGGTCCGTCTCCACTGGTGGTTACTGGATCAGTGGCCCTTCCTCTCCCGCCATTGAGGACCTGCACCGCTTTCCATCAGAGTCCCTCCACTCGTTCTCGTTTGCCAAACAGTCAGAACAAATTTTGCACGTCCGGCAAAGCATACTTCAAAAATCTATCGACTTTGTGCGGGGTCGGTCTTCGTGGGCTGCCAATCCAGCGTTGGTCGATGCTCAGGCACGAGTGAGTGGCGATCCAGAGTTGCAGGGCATGATGGACTTGCTGAAAAAGGCCAACATTATCCCAATCGACACAAAGGCCGCTGGATATAGGACCGTCGGGTCGGGACCACTCACTGGTCCAGCTCACGTCGATGGACGAAACGTCTTTGAGAAGAGCTTCAGCGTGGAGATGGACAACGCGAGAGCACAGGTCCGGAGCCCCACGGCTTACGAAACTGAGCAATGGCGGAAATATTCCCTGGACGACGAGGAGGAGATTGCAAAGGAAGCAGATCTCGAGATGCGAATACCACCCACCAGGTCAGAGTCTATCGATGCACAGCCACAGACCCCCGCTGCACCGCGAGCAGGACTCAAAAGGACCTACACCGATGTGCATTCTGCATCCTTGCAGCAGAAGTTGATCGAGGCTCTCGCCCAGCCATATTCCGCCGATGATCCCCTTGTTGTGCCAGACGTTGTGCCTACATCGGTGGCCACCACTGTTCCCGTTATTCCTGCCGCTGGAAACACTTCCGTGGTGCATAGCCACAGCAG